TGTGTTTCCCCATTGCTGCAGGAGGACGATGGTGTGACCCCTACTGAGCAATCCAATTTGAGATCGAAGCGGCGTGCAGCCAGTTCCGGGAAAAGGGGGCGCCCGCCCAAGAACAAGGGTGAGGGCAAGGCATCCCCCAAAGTGAAAGCAAAGAAGACGGCAAAGCCAAAGGCATTGCCCAAGAAGCCACTGCCCAAGCCAAAGAAAGCTTCCCCCAAACCGAAGCCCGCGCCTCGAGCGTCCAAGAAGTCAAAGGCTCTTGATGGTGACGAGCCGGGCACACCTCCAGATGGGGAGGAGGGTGGGGTCCCTCACAAGCTGGGATGCGGTCGCTGCAGGTATGCATCCAAAGGGTGCAAAACGTGCAAAAATCCGAAGTACAGACCCCACAAGCGCAAGTAGGTTTTGTTTCAAGTCCAGGGCTGCTCTGATTTCCCCTTTCTTTGTCAGTGTGGAAATTATACGTGCAAAATCATAGTAAACTATATATATACATAGAATATTGGTTCGAAGGGGATCAGATGGGAGACTTGCAGCCAAACTTTAAATCTATACTCGTGCAGAATGCTGCGACAACCTGTGTGGCCCGAGTGGTGGCCACCACCGGCAGGGTGAACCTTGCTACATGTTTCCTGCTGGAGGCATTTCAAGTCTTGCAGTCAAGGGATTTAACGTGCTTATCAGAACAAGGTTGGCCACCACCATGGTGCATTTTGACCTGCAGCAGTGCAGCAGTACATGCTGATCACATCGGAGGTGCATATGGTTTCTGAACTTTTAAGCGGGGATAGTTCCTGAAGCTCATCCACCAAAGGGTGAGCAGCTTAGGCGTGCAGCTGTGAAAGCAAACTGTTGCAGCTAGAATCAGCTATAGAAGAGAAAATACAGTGCATTGGGGGTGCAACTTGTCTTTTGGATGCAAAAGATGTTTGATGCATATACGCAACAATGGTTTGATAGTTGCCAGCACAAATTCCCCTTTAAGATATTCAAAAGCCATTCCCCAACCATCTCCACCTCTCACTTGCTTTCCAAGTCCAGACCCGGCTCCATGACTATGCAGGCCTTCATTGAATGAGCAAGGCATGGAGGCTTCGGAGCCTCAGACCGGCCAAACGAAGTTTGGATGGTGCGCCACCCCCCATGCCTGCCTACATATGCCAGTGCCAACCAATGTGAGTAAATTTGGTTTTTGGTGAAATACATAGAATTGTTTAGATCAAAACAAGGCATCCGCAAACACATCGGTGTCACACTTCTCGGGAAATCATTCATTGGTCTTGAAGCCTCTTTGGGATCAAAAGTTCCGTCCATAAATTTGAAAGATGATCCTTGAAAGTAGGAGATCCCACTTCATCCGTCGGTTGTTGCAGCTTCGCGCTCCTGGAGTTTCTTGCTGCAACAGTGTCCATATAAGCCTTTTTCATGGAAAAGGGAAAGCTTGGGGTACCCGTGTTTTGAAACACCCTCATGTATTACAATACCACCCCTGTTTTGAAATATCCCCATGTATTACAATACAATAACTGTCATTTACCCATGATCACATGTTAAAACAGGAAAATAGTTGTTGGTTCCGTGACCTTTATTTCAAAAGTCATGCAAATTTTCCACAGCGATGAAAGACTGGGGCTCAGGTTCTGCTACTTTGTATCCTGATCATCTTCCACACACACAATATCAACCTGGATGAGGCTGGTCTTCTGGAATTCCTTTTTGGGAGGAGAACAAGATAGATGGAGGAAAGTTTAAGTTATCCTTGTATGGTCAGAATCATAGGAAAATTGTAATCAGAATTATGTGTGGAAGCCCAATGCATCCCCCAACCAATCTTATTTCCCTTTAAAGTTTTCCTCACAATAAAATGGGTCCCCATTCTATCCTTACAGTTAAAAGGAATCCCATTCATTTGCGGACCCCTGCCAAGGGAAATATTTATATCTGATCCATCCCCCACAGCCCACCGGTCAGCAATTAGGTGTGGGACGCGCTGGAAGTGTGCAGCGGTGAAGCTCTCCTGAGCAGGTGCTTGAGGTTTGGCTGTGGCTTACGGGTGGCTGCATTTGATATTGATGATTGGGGCAGTTTTGCACAGCAGCGTGGGCTGCCTTGTCACCGCAACCCCCTTGACATGACAACCAGTGCAGGGATGGCGTTCCTTGTCCCATAGATGGAAGCTTAAATAAATATATATATATATATATATATGGGAATGTCTCAAAATAGGAATGCCCCAAGCTCATTTCTTTTAGTAAGAAAAAAGGGGCATTCAGTTTTGGCACCCCTATTCTGAGACATTCCCATATATATATATATTATATATATATATATTCAACTTTCCATGTGCCTTGTTAATTCTGGGGTGGAAGGACACATATCTATATTATATATAATCTTAGCGCTTATGAAGCGATTTAATAAAACAAGATACAGGTGCGATTCTGATTATAAATTGCTTTGCAACCCTGCCCGTGCCCGACGCTGAGGCTGCTGTTGGTCTCCTTGCTCCGGGCGAAGAAGCGGGTGATCGTGCACTTCGGCGTGCCTTGTTCGAGCTGGGTGCTACTATCCCGGGCCACTACAGCCCGCACATGGCTAGCGCCATTAGGTGATTGTTCAGTGAAGAGCGTGGCTGATGGAAACTTACTAGCAGCCAGGCCAGGGTTTCCTGAAAAAAACAATGGGCAGAAACCCAACAAGTGTTGCAAACATGGTTTAGTGGCAACATGAACCTTGTTTTGTGTGATAAGGATTGAATCAACAGGGGTATATACCAAGAAAATTTGATGTTTAATGGGTGAGAACTGGGAAAAAATGAATCTGCGCATTACCCTCACCTGTTCACATGGCAGGATGTGCATTTTGATTTACATCATTCTAGCCCATCAAGGGCATTTTACAATAGAACAGCCCTCTACGTCGCTCCTTTTTCGGCATCCAAGATTTCAGCAAATCATTTCCTTGGTCAAAGAATCTTGGTTTCAGATTGCAACCTATTTTGGTTATCACCAGAAAAAATGTTGAATTCTTATGTAAAGGTGCCAGTCTCGGGTCTTCAGTATGTTTAACCCCCAATGAAACTGTGTGTCAATAATTGTTCATTATAATTTATTTATATATATTTGATATCATTGAAGATAAACTTTCTTTGTGCCCGGTTGATGTTGAGGTATGGCGTGTGCACTTTTGGATGAGATTGCTGGGGTCAAAGTACCCAAAGAGGAGTGTTATCTATTCCAGCTCCCCAAAAGTGTGGCGTTTCAAAACCGGCCACCTCCGCATGGGCCGCCGCAAGTCGAAGGGCCTGCTGGTCAAGCATTACCGTGACAGCACTGGAAGAGCTCGATTTGTTGGTAAGAAGGTTAACTTGAAACATTCAGCGAACCTAGGTTGAAAAATGGTATTACTCTTTCTTTATATGAAGTTGAAACATGGTGATTCCCTGGAGTTTTCCTTACTTGAAAGGGTTCTGCTATGCATCCCAATAAACACAAAAAGAACATCAATTACCCTTCCTGTGTACTGGGTAACATGGAGGATGTGGCCCCCCTGCAACAACACATCGATCGTTCTCAGTAACCCAAGATTGTTGAAACACATTGGATTTGACCCCTTTCTCTGGGGGGGTTCAAATTTTCAGGTTTTAGCTGGTTGTGGGTTTTAGCAATTTGAACCCCGAAGCCCACAAAAGTGCCAAAAAGGAACCCCCCCCCTGGGGGGTGGTTCCTTTTTGGCCGTTTTTGGATTTCACAATTGGGAAGGGGGTGGGATTATGAGATTGGCCTAAAGCCCCATCAAGGATCTTTCGAACTAATAAAGCGGTGTTTGTTTATATAGCCACTAAACAGGAAAACCGACCGTAAAATAAAAATAAATATAAGGGATATAACTATATACACATTATAATAACATCGAGGGTAGCTTGTTCAAGCCTTCGTGACCCATGATATACCGGTACTATGGAAGTTGTTCTCTTTCCTAGGAGATACCCCTTGGGGTTTGGCCTTCGCTACTTAAGCCTCTTCAGCGACCTGCAATCTGAGACATCCACCTTCAAGGACCTACGCGAGGCCCTGGGGTGGTGTTTGATGTGTAAATTTGACAGGATTGTGAAATATGTCCTATCAAAAATTAGAAAGCTTTTGGACATCGACACCTCTAAAAGCAATGTATTATCCATTGGATTCGATCAGTGTGGCAGTCAACCATGAAACCCACCAAGCCTTGGGGATGCGGATAATCTGCAAAGGCCTGCCTGGAGACAGAAAATGGGAAGCAGTAAGTGGTAAGTGCAGGGAAACAACCAAAACAGATGGAATTGGAATATAATAGAAATATAAATATATATAAATATTATATATAGTTGTACAACTACAAAAATAATATTAATAATAATAATAATTTAATAATAATAATATATATATATATATATAATATAAATATATATAATATATAAATATAAATATATTATCTTTTCAAAAGGCTAGTGGGCCCCTATCAAACCCATACTTATTTCATCTCTGTGTATAGGTGCCACGGGCTGGCGACATTGACATGGAGGATTTCTTGGAGAGCCTCCAAACCAACATGGAGGATACGTGGGGTGATGCTCAGATGGCAGAGGTCTGCCAATATTTATATGGCAATACAGATGCCAATTTGCCACCAGAGGTAAAACAATACCTGCCAAGGTGGCTGTGAGCCCAATGTGAAGGGACAGTTGCCATGATTTGGCAGCAGTTTTGCAAATTTGAGCAATTCTGAGCGTGAAAAATGGTGAAAAATCCTGCTCGAATTGAAAAAAACAAAAAAAATGGAGTGAAAAAAAAGTGAAAAAGTGGCGTATTTTCATGAAAAAGTGGCGTATTTTTCCGTATGCTGTGATTTTTTGATTTTTGAACCATTTTTTCAAGAACCACATGCATCGTTCACCCCCCTCTAATTGCAGGCATTTTGCTACAGTACAAAAGGGGTCCCACATAGATCCCTTCAATATCTGACCCATGTCTGACGCCCCGGGTGATATCAGGGAATTGAAGTCCCGGCAATGGAGTTGCTCTACTCTCCAGGGTGGGATGTCGTACCTAGAGGAACAACGGCGTCTTGTGAAGGAAGAGCATTTGGATATTGAAGACCAACTCAAAGTTACCTGTCAACTGTGTTCATGTGTTGTGCATTTTTTGATACGTTTTTGAATTCTTTCTTTTCCCATTAAGCCACCATTGGCGTCGCCACGCCAAGGCTGCACAAGAACTCCGTGAACGTTTGAAACAGCAGCTCCAGGAAACCGAAGCTGAGGAACGGAAGTTGGCTGGAGAGAAAGCGGGCCAAGTTCCCAATCCCACCACGCCACCAGTTACTCCTACTGAAGGGTTCCCCAGGACTCCAGAGATGTCAGGAAAAGACCATTCAGTAGCCTGTGATACCCAGTTGGATGAGGCTGGCTATCATCCAGACAATCAGGTTGGAATCTATGACAGGACACCTTCTTTGGTTGGTAGGCATGAGTCCAACAGTGCCTTGTCACCAACAGACAAGTTACCAGGGGACAAGTCGGTTGAGGATAAGGCAGCCCCAGAACCATCAAGGCCTATATCCACCCCAGTTCGTGCTCCTGCCCGGGGGTGTCCTACAACCACTCCTCCCAACAAGCCCTACATGAAGAGCCGTGAGATCAGGGAACCACTGACTCCAACCGAGATTGAAGAAACACCCCCACAGCCCGGAATTACTTCTGATGACTATCCAACACCGCCAGCACCAAGCCCTGCACGGGATGAACCAGTGGATGATGTACCCAATGAACCTTGATTATAATCAATCTGGTTTTGTTACAAGGTGTTTGACAAAGCCTATGCTGGTTTCCATTTGTTTCTATGATCTTGATATGGTTACTTTTCTTTTTAGGGGTGTGACCTATATATATATATAAATATATATATATATATATATAGATATATATATATATAGATATTTATATATACACATTTGGATGCTACGTCTAAAATATGTCTCTTTGGGGTGCGCCATAAGCTAGGAAACCTGCTGCCCAGGAATGTCTCCAGTACTTCGCCCAGCTGGCCTTGGGTCTGGCCAGTTCCGCAAGTGGTGCAAGCCGACCAGAGGTGGAACCTAAGCCGGTTGAGCCAGCTCGGGAACCTGCACCCCCTGCCCGTGAGGAAAAGAAGGTCACTAAACTTGATTGTTACAGTTTTCTATGGTAGGGGTTCCAACATGTAGACCTCAAATCCTTCAGGTTCCAACATGCTCCAAAAACATTCAGCGTGATGGGATGATTAGATATATGGATATAATATTATATATTATATATATATAGACCATTGGTGCTTTACACAGGTATACGGGTTTGATGTTATAATATTATCGAGCTGATAGATTGCCCTGGCCTAGGCACCCGTGGTTCCGAACAAAGCAGATTCTGGGAATGATGAGGCATGGTGTTAGAACTTTGTTTGGGTTCCGCCACTTGATGGGATACATATATGTGAATATAGTATTGACATGTTGTTTTTAAACGTGATATGTATAAATAGGGTATACCAATCTTCAAAAAACTGGGGCATCCGTTTTGGGACCGAAATTTTGGGAAAAATGAAGGCGCCCGTCTTCAAATAGAGTTTGGGTATATTTGGCATTTCATGTTCCATTGCCAGGCCAATTCTCCGGCCAAAGAATCCGAGGCTTCCGAGGACCGAGTTTAGCAGCCCACTCAATGCAGGCATGATGGTGTGCTTAAAATATGTGGCATTTCCCAAAAATGAAACAGTCAATCAAATTGAAAACAATCAATCTTATTGCTGTCATCTTGGCCTACTGGCCCACATATATTGAGCTATATAGCTGGCGAACTAAACTTCACTTTGTCATAGAGCTGGGTAACAATACAATACCTTGCTCAGTGGTTGGGATTGGCATGACCTGCAACCCCCAGGACAAGTCCAACAAGCGCCAGGTCCGGATGGTCGGTCGGAATGGCCGTGTTATTTCCGAGAGTGGCGCAGAGCAAGCCATCCGCCGACTGTGCCAACCCAACAAAAGGGGACAAAAGAAAGCTTCCCAGGATATCGTCAACCAGTTTTTTGCTGGTGGAGATAGCCGAAAAGAACTCATCAAATTATTCATTGAAAGTGGGGGAAACCATGATTCTTGCCCATCTTTTTCAGGCACCAAAATGTTTTTTTTATCCCCTTAAGTTTCTGAAATCATCCATGATTATATTTGATTTGTTTGGTCAGCCAAGCCTTGGGGTGCCTCTGGGCAGCTTAGGATGTTTTCAAGCGCACTGCTGAATTGCGCATTCAGCAGAAGCGTGCGAGAAAGGAATCTTGTGGGGGAGGGTTTTACACGGAAGAGGCCATGAAGACCGAACTTGGATATACTGCGATTCTTGGTAACATCTTGACACCGAAAAATTGCCACAAATGGGATGCAATTTGATGTTCAATTTTAGGGACCCCCCGAAAAAAACCTACAAGGGGAGGCCCCCTAGTTGTAAGTATGGCCCCTCTACAATTATACCTCGCAAGATTTTTGCTAAAACTAAATTATGGGTCCACTTATGGGGGCCTCACCTTGTAATTTACCAAAGCAATGGTCTGTATAGACCAGAGGCCACTGGAAGCCATTCCAATAAACCCAATATATATGTTTTCCAGTAAAGGGTATTTTATTCCACCACGAAATTCTTTACCAACTCAGTAATACACATATGTTCCTGTTCAACTACCATGGGTAATTCCAACAGCTGCCTCCTGACCCCAGCCCTGCATTGTCCAGTGGCTCATGCTCAGGAAGAGGATCAAGGCAATCATTGCCTATTGCAGCCACAAGAGACGCAGGGACACACACATCAGGAGACCGACCGGTTGTGTGGGTCATCTTTATTGAAATCAACATTGAACCTTTTCACATTTAACATGTTCTGGGTTGAACTATATAATACGATATATACAGAATGTGCTCCCTCCTTTTTGAACTTTGATGGGGGAAGTTTGTCACGGCAGGAAGGACAAATATGAGCGCATTGACAAGTACCTTGTGGAAACCCAGGACACCGTAGAGCTCAACCGTACGCGTGAAGACACGGTTGACCAAAGTTTGGAGTTTGAAGTTTCCGGCCCATCCTCAGCGGCATTTCCCAGTGGGCCTGATGGTTTGGTTGAGTCTGACCGCCCCAGTCGAAAGCGCTCCAAGGTTCCTGACGAAAGCCAGGATGAGGACAGTGATGAAGATGACTCAGATGATGGCATGATGGGTGAGGCCACATCAGATTCAGAGGATGATGATGATGGGAAGACTTCCAAGACAGGGAGCAAGTCTAAGTCGGCTTCTGGTCGGTCCAAACGCAGTCGCCATACAGATGAAATCCCTGAGGACTATTTTTCCAAATGCATGGGGTATGATGTTGATCTAATCTTTATTTAGTGGGAAGCAGGTCACCATTCAGATCCTGATTTATTTTTTATGTTTAACATCGTCCAACCCAAAGGGCTTAATATGTTGTATAAACAGGACATCTACAACTCTGACGAGATCCTGTCCCAAATCCTCAAATCCACAGTTAAGATGGATGGCTTGTTGCACAAACTTGGCCAACATGGAACCGAGGAAGCAGCGCAGAACCTCGTAAAACTGACATTCATATTATGTTATATATATATTTGTTGGAAGAAATCAAAGTTTAGGGGATTCAGTGGGTCGCTTCGAAACCTTCCACACCCATATGTACAACCAAGGATTGCTAAGGGCGTCGATGGCCAAAAGGCGACCCTTATTGGCTTGCATGATGAGATTGCTGGATTCAAAGCGGAATATGATGCAGACAAGAAACTGACCCCGGAGAGCCTAAACTATAGTTTAATGTCCCAACCCTTTTCTTTTCCATCTACGAAGCGAATTATATACTATATGTGGGCTTCTTAAATCCTATTCTTTGATTCTCCCAAGTTCCTATATACATCAACTCTGGCCTAAGGAAAGCAAAGGCATTGCGTGCCAAGTTCCGTCAAGTGGAAGTTGCGTTTGGGCCCCAACACCACCGGATTTGGGCGGGCCTGGTAGGGGTTGAAGTTGCCAATCATGAAATCATCATCTTCCCATGGTTCAACCTCATCTGGTCAAGGTGCAGCAAAGCTGCCATGGAGCACAAGAAGCTGACCAGGACACTCGGGGTTGAAATGTGGGGCAACCCGGAACGCATCATAATATATATATATGTATATTATAGTGTATATTGATGATATACAGATAGAATGTAAATATATGATGATATAAAAATACTATATATTCCTTTTACTGTACGACATCATAAAGTTGTCATTTTATCATGTTATATATGGGTTTATGGTCTTGAAACATGTGGCCTCTATATAAACGGTATTTCCTGATCTATACATGCACAATAATCTCAACAAAAAAAGGTAGACAATCGATTCCCAAATTCCAATTCCTTCGGCCATATTATAATTGCTCTTCTTGGGGTTGAAAGCTGGCAAAATATAATTTGAACTGCAATAGTTATCCTTCAGCAGCTGGGAGCCCCCAAAGCCACCAAACATGACCCCTCCTGACCTACTGGTAAATTTCCTGGGCCCTGTATGATTTTGTGCTATGTCAAAATTTTGCGGGGAAACATGGATTATACCCATGGTTAAGGTGGTGACTTTTTGGGTGTCAAATCATGATCTCTTTCAACCCCCACGCTATTTCCAGGACAATCTTGAAGAAGACCAAGGAAGCCAAGCCGAAATCGGCGGGGAGGGGTAAGAAACCCAAGGCCAAGAAGACTAGCGGGGATGACGGTCAGGAGGCAGCCCCTACAACCCCTCCGCCCAGACGGGTCAGCAAGAAGTCTGCCCCGTCTACCAAATCCAAAAAATGATTTGCTATATTTCTGGTATATCCAGGATTTGGGGGCTGTGTTTCGATACCATTATGGATGGTATTTTTTGAACATAGCAGTTGGAGCATTTGAGCACCTGGCACATCAACCATGTTTATCTAAAAATAGTTGAAATTGTGTCCATTTTTTTCAAACAAGTCCAATGTTGTAACGATGTAAAAGATGCTTTCGAGGGTCCAGGGTGCTTACGCAGTATACCCAGAAACTTGCAATTCAGTTCCTGTGGCTGGAGTTGCCAAACCTGCCGTGCAAAGAAATATATTATCGTGTTTATAGATCCTATAGGTCCTAGGGTGGTATCATATTACATTCGTGTTTATAGATCTTATAGGTTGGTATCATATTACATTCGTTGGTACCAAAAAATATATCTTAAACCCATGGTTTCAAGTGTAGCGGCAAAGGTTATGGCCTTACCAGCCCAAGATTAGGCGATATATCTGTGGGGCACACGGCAAGAGCAGAAAAAAAGGTGAACACCTGATGCTATGCGCAATCCTGAACAATGATCCCATGGTAAATTGCCGAATCCTCATCCCACCGCAGGTGATGCACCAGCTGGCAGTGCTAAGAGGCCCCGCTCAGCTGGCCCAGTTGGAGAGGCATTGGCAGGCGCTGTCTCTAGAGGAGTGGCTTGATGCATCCATCCCATTTTTTTTTTGTAATGTTGGAGCATATATAGCATTATGTTTTAGAAACGCTTTGCAATCCTGAAGGTACTTTGTGGTTTTGGGGTATAAAATATTCCAAATCATATGTTTTTGTCTTTCCCCAGGGGCGCATGATGAAAGTAAGGTTAGTGAAGCGGAAATTTGCAGCATTGCGAACGCTATTTGTTCGGAATTACAAGTTGGTGATTGTGCGTCTTCAACCCTACTGGAGAAAATGCAAAGGCTTCATGAAACAGGACATGCCAACCGTGTCTTCAATGATTTTTCTTCAGCAAACCTGGCAGCTGATTTCCCCGTATCCTATGTCTCGATTGGATGGCAACATCCTGTTCTGAAATTGAGGGATGTGATTGCTTACCTTTCAGCCAATGGAAAGCTGCATCATTTTGTGAAAGATCCAACCCTGCAAGACTATTCTGTGTTTTGGAAAAAATTTGGAAAGCTACAGCCTGATCATCCGATCTATGATTTGCCGGTTGAGCGGCGACGGCGCACTATACCTGTTCTGATCCACGCTGACGAAGGGACTTCCCAGAAAAAAAGGGCTCTGATGATAGTCAGTGTACAGCCAGTCATTGGCAATGGGACGAGCTTTGGGGGGAAACAAGTCAACTTCGTTGGAAACAGCCTCACCACCAGGTTCTTGTATACCACCATCATGGGAAGATGTTACCGGAAAAAGCACGCCATCCGGCTTACCAAATTGATTGACTCTCTGGCGAATGACTTAAAGGATCTCTTTTCCAACCCAGTTCATGTCCCTTGGCTATATGTGATTCTTTGTCATTGTTCCAATCAATAGCTACTCATGAGGAGAGCAAAGTATACAAGGTCCCCTGTTTGACAGTTCAAATGATTAAACCACCTATATAGTATAATATATATATATAGCAGGAAAGAAGGGGCACATTCTATTTTTTTGTTAAACGGCAATCGGAGGTTCTCCTTGGTGATGCTCAAGAAAGCTTGTTTGTCTCCTGCGTGGGGGTGAAGGGCGATTGGCCCGCACTATGCAAGTTGGGTGGCCTTAACAGGCACCATGGGAGAGAGGCGCATCAGACTGCATCAGCTGGAATTTGCCATTTGTGCAATGCCGGCCAGCCAGGCCACGATTTTCACCGGTTTGATTTTACATCCATGCTGAAAGCTCGTACTTCTGATCTGCCCTGGACCAGACCTAGCTCATTGAGCAGACATATTCCGCAGAGCCCCTCAAAGAAGGAGATGTTCTACAAGATCGATCTTTTTCACGTTGGACACAAAGGTGTCATGGGCGATGTTTGTGCAAATGCCATTGCCACCTGCCATATAGAAGATGTTCTTCACATGTGCAACCTGTTTTGTGGGATTGAAAGAGGTGAAAAGGGTGATCTTTTTTGTTTTATCATTTGCAAAATGAAGTCGGGTAACATTGAAGCCAGGTTTCTTTGTTTGACCTGAGCATCGACGGTATGTCCATATCTTCTGGCCTGGATTCTGTGTATGAAGAGCTTGCGCAGTATGCAAAAGAGAACTCCTTACCTTTGCACATGCTGCAGCTTTCTCGGACGATTTTGGGATACCCCAACTCATGGTCCTTCCCAGCAGCGTCCCTTGACATGCCAAAGTGCTATCAGAATTTTCTTGTGAAAGCGCTATTCCAGCAACATTTGCTGCTTTCTATTTGGCATGTTTTGGATCATCTCTTTTTTGCCCTTGTTTGAGCCCTGACTCTGACTCAGGGGATGGTTCAAGGGTGCGGACACAACGACCTTGACATACTTTTTGGAGCACCGCTTTGCCAAGATCCTTTCAGATAATCCAGGGCATGAGCATGCAACCTACATCGAATCGATTCTGGCATGCTTGCGGGCCTCGAGCAAGATTTTCAAGATCCTTTACAGAGCCTCGCTATGGCTCACCGATGGTGAGCGGGATGCTGTGATTGACTCCTTGCGAGATTTGCTGGCAAACTTCAAGAAAGCGGCCGGGTACAGTTTCAACGTTTTGAAGCTGACTCGCTTCAAATTCCAGCCGAAGTACCACATGCTGTCTGAAGTCCGGTACGAACTGATTTGCAACAGACAGCTTGGTGTGGAGTCATTGAATGCACTGGCATTCAGTTGCCAGATGGACGAGGACTTTGTAGGCCGATTGGCTCAGATGAGCAGATTTGTCTCGTCGAAGGCGGTGCACAGAAAAACCGTTGAGAGATACAAGTTAGCGGTGGCCTCGGTGTGGTGAGAGTTAACAAGTTGACAGGTCAGCTATCACACAATTGTGAATGTATTCCCGTATTGTGGTTGTAGGCACCACGCAGAGGGTCGCTTCACCACGCAGTTGTGAGTCAGAGCCAAAAACAGAGAGAAAAGAGTGAAAGGATCGAGGATGTAGGGGAAAGGGTGAAAGTGGTAAACCTGCAATTTTTGATGAACTGCCACTTTTGTAAAAGTGGCGTCCAAACCTTCCACTTTCGTCAGTGCCCCTTTTTTCTCTGCAACTTGGTTTTCTAGGTACACACAGACGCTTTTACACACAAACGCTTTGACACACAGACGCTTTTACACACAGACGCTTTTACACACAGACCCTTGTACACACAGACGCCTTTACACACAGACACTTTTACACACAGACGCTTTTTACACACAGACCCTTTTACACACAGGAGCTGCTTTTACACACAAACGCTTGTACACACAGAAGCTTTTACACATAGACGCTTTTACACACAGGCACTTTTACACAGAAACACTGTTACACACAAACACTTTTACACACAGAGGCTTTTACACACAAACGCGTTTACACAAACACTTTTACACACAAACACTTTTACACACAGACGCTTTGACACACAGACGCTTTTACACACAGACGCTTTTACACACAGAGACTTTTACACACAGAGACGCTTTTACACACAGAAGCTTTTACACAGACGCTTTTACACACAGACGCTTTTACACACAGACGAAAGGGTTGCTCCGGCACAGGAAAAATCGCAATTTTACCTCAGTTTCTACCGATCGACCCTCATTTCGTGCGAAAGGGTTGCTCCGGGACAAGTCAAATCGCAATTGTACTTCAGTTTCTGCCGATCGACCCTCATTTCGTGCGAAAGGGTTGCTCCGGGGCAAGTAAAATCGCACTTTTACCTCAGTTTTTGCCGATCGACCCTCATTTCGTGCGAAAGGGTTGCTCCAGGACAAGTAAAATCGCACTTTTACCTCAGTTTTTGCCGATCGACCCTCATTTCGTGCGAAAGGGTTGCTCCAGGACAAGTAAAATCGCACTTTTACCTCGGTTTTTGCCGATCGACCCTCATTTCGTGCGAAAGGGTTGCTCCGGGACAAGTCAAATCGCAATTTTACCTCAGTTTTTGCCGATCGACCCTCATTTCGTGCGAAAGGGTTGCTCCGGCACAGGTAAAGTCGCAATTTTGCCTCAGTTTTTGCCGATCGACCCTCATTTCGTGCGAAAGGGTTGCTCCGGGACAAGTCAAATCGCAATTTTACCTCAGTTTTTGCCGATCGACCCTCATTTCGTGCGAAAGGGTTGACGTTTCGTGACTCGCCGCCGGCACCACCCTCGGCCTTAAGAGAGAAAGATAAAGAAGGCGAGAGAGAGAAAAGAGAGAGAGATGTGAGAGAAGATGTGAAGATGAGCAGATGTGAAGATGAGCAAATGTGAAGATGAGAAGATGTGAGAGAAGGTGTGAAGATGAGCAGATGTGAAGATGAGCAGATGTGAGAGAAGATGTGAGAGAAGAGGTGAGGATGAGCAGATGTGAGCAGATGTGAAGATGAGCAGATGTGAAGATGAGCAGATGTGAAGATGAGCAGATGTGAAGATGAGAAGGTGTGAAGATGAGCAGATGTGAAGATGAGCAGATGTGAAGATGAGCAGATGTGAAGATGAGAAGGTGTGAAGATGAGCAGATGTGAAGATGAGCAGATGTGAAGATGAGAAGGTGTGAAGATGAGCAGATGTGAAGATGAACAGATGTGAAGATGAACAGATGTGAAGATGAACAGATGTGAAGATGAGAAGATGAGATACAGATGTGAAGATGAGCAGATGTGAAGATGAGCAGATGTGAAGATGAGCAGATGTGAAGATGAGAAGGTGTGAAGATGAGCAGATGTGAAGATGAGCAGATGTGAAGATGAGAAGGTGTGAAGATGAGCAGATGTGAAGATGAACAAATGTGAAGATGAGAAGATGTGAAGATGAACAGATGTGAAGATGAGAAGATGAGATACAGATGTGAAGATGAGAAGATGTGAAGATGAGATACAGACCCCCACTATTGGAAGAACCCTGCGCTCAGACGCTCTCGGGAACTACTAAAAAATATGGGATAAAACACCGTTCTAATGAGCACTTGGAGGAAACAAAAGTATGTGTATACATATAGTATAATGCATTTATCACAAGGTCATGGCATGCTTATTGGCAACATGAGAACTGGGATACATAAATCGTGTAAAGTCATATGGCATGCAAAGTTTTCTGCTTATCTACACGCAAATGAGGATATTAAAGAGTATGGGCGATGATGATGATGATGATGGTGATGATGATGATGATGAGGATAATGATGATGATGATGATGATGGTGGTGATGATGATGATTATGATTATGACGACGATGACGATGATGATGATGACGACGATGACTATGACAATGGTGATGGTAATAACGACAATGATGATGATAATGACGATGATGATGAATGTGACAATGATGATGATGATGATTATAATGATGATGAGGATGGTCATGATAATGATGATGAATAAGAAGACAATGACGATAACAATGACGATGATGATGATGCTCATTATGATGGTCTTGATTATTTTTATGATGATGATGATGACAATGACGATAACGATAACGATGACGATGACGATTATGATGATGATGATGATGATGATGATAATCATGATGATCATGATGATCATGATGATCATGATGATCATGATGGTCATGATGGCCATGATGATCATGATGATCATGATGGTCATGATGGTCATGATGGTTATCATGATGGTTATCATGATGGTCATCATGATGGTTATCATGATGGTTATCATGATGGTTATCATGATGGTTATCATGATGGTTAGCATGATGGTTAGCATGATGGTTATCATGATGGTTATCATGATGGTTATCATGATGGTTGTCATGATGATGCTGCTACTGCTGACGGTGATGATGGTTCATGATGGTTCCAGTTTTCTTTCGCCTATCCAACAGGCTCCATGACCCAGCAACTGTTCGCCAAACCCGGCGCGGTCTTCAGGTAGTCGTAGGCACCCTCCGTGAAGCCTCCATTGCAGCCTGGCAGAGCCGCATCTGAAGGTCCCAAGAGGAAACACCACAGTTGTGTGGCCTTTTTGTGTGTTTGAAAGTGCTTAAGTTTAAGCAAAATAACTGATAGTTAAACCTTTTAAACATCCAGCTAATCTAACATATTCTAACATCATCTAACCGGCCCATAATTGATAACAATTCTTGACGCATTGCCAATCGCGTGGGACTCCCCCTGACCAGGGCCTTGGCAGCCGTACTCGCCGGTGCTTGGAGCACAGCTGGTAATCTGCTGCGGAGACAACTCGATGTCGTACCTGCCGCAGATGCCATGGGGTGCTCCAAATGTTGCCGTGGTAATGGCGTCGAGAATCAGCTGAAACTCCGCAAACGCCATGTTGAAAGATTTTGCAAGGTTTGGAGAAATGAAATTCAAGATCATTGGTGGCTGTTAGCAGTTAGCACATAGAAAGGAATTTCAGCTGCCTCTATGAAAGCTGAATACAAGTTAAGTAGCGTGAAATATCCAGTTGCATGTTTTTGGTGCACATTTCTCTGTACCTTCATTTTTTTCACCTATATTTCTTCTTGATAATCACGTCGATCTTCACTCATTCTTTTGCTTCCATTCCCAACCAAACATCTTAGACTCAATGTCATCAATGACTAAGACCTATGACTTTCACATACTTTCACTCCATATCACTCCATGATTTCCCATAATTAGATCTTCCAGGTTTTCCAGATATTGTCTAATAGATCTGCCCATATTTTCTAAAAAAAATGATCTTCCCATAGATTTCCCATAGATCTTCCGATTTTCCTATCGATTTTCCCATGGATTTCCCCGCGCTCCGCGGCTCCGCGCCTGCCGCCTGAGGCCATGATGAGCTGCGACTCAACGGCTTCGGTGGCACTGAAGGCCCAGCAGGAGCCTCTGGCGCTCAACTGGTGGTCTCATATACCCTCTGGTAAATTAACATAGACCCTGGCAGATAGGACTTGGAAGACTCGTTTCCATTAAAAATTGGTGATTTTCAGGGTCTATGTTTATTTACCAGAGGGTAAGATTAACAATATTTAATCTAAACCATAACTGGTTGGTGGTTCAACCCCTCTGAAACATGAGTCACTTGGGGTTACTATTCCCAATATATGGGAAAATGTTCCAAACCACCAACCAGTAAATATGGTATTATGTTGTAACGTGTAGCTCTACATACACGTGTATATATATATATAAACAGTGAACATTAATGAACCATAGATTGTAATAATTTTATCATCAAAACATATCATAACCATATATATATATATATGACCACATTTGACCACATTATCGTTACTGTACCATATAACGGGATATATATATGGCTATTGGTCAAAACCCTGGTGCCGAGTGAACCCCAAAATAGTTTGTAAATGGATGTTCATCCCACTAAAATTAAACATAATTTGTTGACCCACTCCCATATTATATATATATACTACACATACAAATGATGAACTAAGATTAACATCTATGAACATATATATATATTATATATATATATATCTAAATATGAACAATAAAATAAAGGAATAACAATGGCCAAATAATAACCATACTAGAGCCATATATTTTAAATTATCACCAGCAATGGTTCATTTAATTGGCAAAAGTACCAGCATATTATAATGTAAACAAAAGCACTTTTTATGGCTACAGCAGGGTCTAGAGTCTAAGTTCCCAATTTATGTCCATTTCCCATCAATCGTCCATAGATCTTTCCATGATTTATCCGATTGGATATATATATATATACACAGAGATTCCTAATTTATATTAATATCCAAAGAATGTATTTCCCATTCCCTTATTATCCAATTATAGTCTAGTTATATCCATGTTTATCACGTAGCTCGCCATAGCTCTCCCATATTTCCCATCAAACCACTATTACTCAAAACATTAATGTAAAACAAAGGGGCTCACCTAGTATTAACCCCCCCAAAAAAGTCAATCATTATGTCATGTAGTATCAAACCAATCATAAGATTACCCATTAATCATTAATCCGTCAACCACCATTGGCTTTCGATGGTTTCTGACATAAGTCCGGGGTTGACCTTATCAATCCTGCCGCAAGCTTCACCTAGGCCCACACCAGAAACACATTGGGTCGAGACACCACATTGACCTGACAGATCAAGTCTGGCATCGTGGGAAGTGGGGGCTCAAAGCAGCAGGCTTTTTTGTCCGGATATGATTGGACACTCCAGTAATTTGATATCAGCTATGTCAACGGGCCCCGTTAATTTCGATTATTTACATATAAGAAATGGTGATTTCCAAAGCTATGGTAAACTACAAAAAGGAATCATACGTGTATATGTGTATAAAATATTATATTAGTATAATGGGATGTAATGGGTTTATTCGAAAAAATAATGGTATATAAGTAATGGTATAAAACAAACCATGATTGGAGTTGCAATTCACTGTAATACGTTATACATCGTTATACTTCATCAACTAAACCAACAGTATCCGAATCAGGTGTGATTCAACGTGGAAATCTGAATGGGGAAACTATGATTCAACCGGATTAGGAAAACAAAAAAGACCAATCCACGTGGGTCCCTACAAGGACCATGACCAAAGCACACAACAATTCAAAGACGAATTGGCAGTTCAACTTGCTTCATAGGGATGAACCTAGTTGCTTTCTGCAAAGGTTGTTTCATATAAAGGGTGTTGTGATGTGATAGACTCATCCTGGGCAGCATGCCTAGCAAGGAACATTGAAAACAGAGTTTCATCCTGGAAGCTGTCACCCACTTGTCCAGCATGTCATCACACAAAGTGCTACGCTTAGTTCACAACTTCACAAACATGTCTGAATTAATGCCAGATCCAATCGCAACCAATCGAACCTTTGCAGGAACATCAAGGACAGGCAAAACAAACAACCACACCATTCACAAGATGCTGCAACGTGAACCGCTGACGTATCCAAATTCCTGCAATAAACACAATAGACAACAACATTTCAAAGACCCATTGGCAGTTCAAGTTGCCTCAGAGGGATGAACCTAGTTGCTTTCTGCAAAGGTTGCTTCAGATAAAGGGTGTTGTGATGTGATAGACTCATCCTGGGCAGCTTGTCTATAGGAAGGAACATTGAAAAAAGAGTTTCATCCTGCAAACTGTCACCCCCTTGTCCAGCATGTCATCACCCAAAGTGCCACGTTTAGCTCACAACTTCACATCGCAACCAATCGAACCTTTGCAGGAACATCAAGGACAGGCAAAACAAGCAACCACACCATTCACAAGATGCTGCAACGTGAACCGCTGACGTATCCAAATTCCTGCAATAAACACAATAGACAACGACATTTCAAAGACCGATTGGCAGTTCAAGTTGCCTCAGAGGGATGAACCTAGTTGCTTTCAGCAAAGGTTGCTTCAGATAAAGGGTGTTGTGATGTGATAGACTCATCCTGGGCAGCATGTTTATAGGAAGGAACATTGAAAAAAGAGTTTCATCCTGCAAACTGTCACCCACTTGTCCAGCATGTCATGACCCAACGTGCAACGTGTGGTTCACAACTTCACAAACATGTCTGAATTAATGCCAGATCCAATCGCAACCAATCGAACCTTTGCAGGAACATCAAGGACAGGCAAAACAAACAACCACACCATTCACAAGATGCTGCAACGTGAACCGCTGACGCATCCAAATTCCTGCAATAAACACAATAGACAACGACATTTCAAAGACCGATTGGCAGTTCAAGTTGCCTCAGAGGGATGAACCTAGTTGCTTTCTGCAAAGGTTGCTTCGGATAAAGGGTGTTGTGATGTGATAGACTCATCCTGGGCAGCATGTTTATAGGAAGGAACATTGAAAAAATAGTTTCATCCTGCAAACTGTCACCCACTTGTCCAGCATGTCATCACACAAAGTGCTACGTTTAGTTCACAACTTCACAAACATGTCTGAATTAATGCCAGATCCAATCGCAACCAATCGAACCTTTGCAGGAACATCAAGGACAGGCAAAACAAACAACCACACCATTCACAAGATGCTGCAACGTGAACCGCTGACGTATCCAAATTCCTGCAATAAACACAATAGACAACAACATTTCAAAGACCCATTGGCAGTTCAAGTTGCCTCAGAGGGATGAACCTAGTTGCTTTCTGCAAAGGTTGCTTCAGATAAAGGGTGTTGTGATGTGATAGACTCATCCTGGGCAGCTTGTCTATAGGAAGGAACATTGAAAAAAGAGTTTCATCCTGCAAACTGTCACCCACTTGTCCAGCATGTCATCACCCAAAGTGCTACGTTTGGTTTACAACTTCACAAATTTGTCTGGACTGATTATGCCAGATCCAATTGCAACCAATCGAACCTTTGCAGGAACATCAAGGACAGACAAAACAAACAACCACACCATTCACAAGATGCTGCAACGTGAACCGCTGACGTATCCAAATTCCCGCAATAAACACAATAGACAACGACATTTCAAAGACCAATTGGCAGTTCAAGTTGCCTCAGAGGGATGAACCTAGTTGCTTTCAGCAAAGGTTGCTTCAGATAAAGGGTGTTGTGATGTGATAGACTCATCCTGGGCATGTCTAGCAAGGAACATTGAAAAAATCATCCTGCAAACTGTCACCCACTTGTCCAGCATGTCATCACCCAAAGTGCTACGTTTAGTTCACAACTTCACAAACATGTCTGAATTAATGCCAGATCTAATCGCAACCAATCGAACCTTTGCAGGAACATCAAGGACAGGCAAAACAAACAACCACACCATTCACAAGATGCTGCAACGTGAACCGCTGACGCATCCAAATTCCCGCAATAAACACAATAGACAACAACATTTCAAAGACCGATTGGCAGTTCAAGTTGCCTCAGAGGGATGAACCTAGTTGCTTTCTGCAAAGGTTGCTTCAGATAAAGGGTGTTGTGATGTGATAGACTCATCCTGGGCAGCTTGTCTGTAGGAAGGAACATTGAAAAAAGAGTTTCATCCTGCAAACTGTCACCCACTTGTCCAGCATGTCATCACCCAAAGTGCTACGTTTGGTTTACAACTTCACAAACTTGTCCGGACTAACTATGCCAGATCCATTTGCAACCAATCGAACCTTTGCAGGAACATCAAGGACAGACAAAACAAACAACCACACCATTCACAAGATGCTGCAACGTGAACCCCTGACGTATCCAAATTCCCGCAATAAACACAATAGACAACGACATTTCAAAGACCGATTGGCAGTTCAAGTTGCCTCAGAGGGATGAACCTAGTTGCTTTCAGCAAAGGTTGCTTCAGATAAAGGGTGTTGTGATGTGATAGACTCATCCTGGGCATGTCTAGCAAGGAACACTGAAAAAAATCATCCTGCAAACTGTCACCACACTTGTCCAGCATGTCATGACCCAACGTGCAACGTGTGGTTCACAACTTCACAAACATGTCTGAATTAATGCCAGATCCAATCGCAACCAATCGAACCTTTGCAGGAACATCAAGGACAGGCAAAACAAACAACCACACCGTTCACAAGATGCTGCAACGTGAACCGCTGACGAATCCAAATTCCCGCAATAAACACAATAGACAACGACATTTCAAAGACCGATTGGCAGTTCAAGTTGCCTCAGAGGGATGAACCTAGTTGCTTTCAGCAAAGGTTGCTTCAGATAAAGGGTGTTGTGATGTGATAGACTCATCCTGGGCATGTCTAGCAAGGAACACTGAAAAAAATCATCCTGCAAACTGTCACCACACTTGTCCAGCATGTCATGACCCAACGTGCAACGTGTGGTTCACAACTTCACAAACATGTCTGAATTAATGCCAGATCCAATCGCAACCAATCGAACCTTTGCAGGAACATCAAGGACAGGCAAAACAAACAACCACACCGTTCACAAGATGCTGCAACGTGAACCGCTGACGAATCCAAATTCCCGCAATAAACACAATAGACAACAACATTTCAAAGACCGATTGGCAGTTCAAGTTGCCTCAGAGGGATGAACCTAGTTGCTTTCAGCAAAGGTTGCTTCAGATAAAGGGTGTTGTGATGTGATAGACTCATCCTGGGCAGCTTGTCTGTAGGAAGGAACATTGAAAAAAGAGTTTCATCCTGCAAACTGTCACCCACTTGTCCAGCATGTCATCACCCAAAGTGCTACGTTTAGTTCACAACTTCACAAACATGTCTGGACTAACTATGCCAGATCCAATCGCAACCAATCGAACCTTTGCAGGAACATCAAGGACAGACAAAACAAACAACCACACCGTTCACAAGATGCTGCAACGTGAACCGCTGACGAATCCAAATTCCCGCAATAAACACAATAGACAACGACATTTCAAAGACCGATTGGCAGTTCAAGTTGCCTCAGAGGGATGAACCTAGTTGCTTTCAGCAAAGGTTGCTTCAGATAAAGGGTGTTGTGATGTGATAGACTCATCCTGGGCATGTCTAGCAAGGAACACTGAAAAAAATCATCCTGCAAACTGTCACCACACTTGTCCAGCATGTCATGACCCAACGTGCAACGTGTGGTTCACAACTTCACAAACATGTCTGGACTAACTATGCCAGATCCAATCGCAACCAATCGAACCTTTGCAGGAACATCAAGGACAGGCAAAACAAACAACCACACCGTTCACAAGATGCTGCAACGTGAACCGCTGACGAGTCCAAATTCCCGCAATAAACACAATAGACAACGACATTTCAAAGACCGATTGGCAGTTCAAGTTGCCTCAGAGGGATGAACCTAGTTGCTTTCAGCAAAGGTTGCTTCAGATAAAGGGTGTTGTGATGTGATAGACTCATCCTGGGCAGCATGTTTATAGGAAGGAACATTGAAAAAAGAGTTTCATCCTGCAAACTGTCACCCACTTGTCCAGCATGTCATGACCCAACGTGCAACGTGTGGTTCACAACTTCACAAACATGTCGGGTTCCAATCGCAATCAAACACGCCAAACATTTTTACTATACTATTTTTACTCCTTTATGTTTGGGTGCCTCCCCGTCTTTGATTCATGGCCCGTCCTCAACCCCGCATACTTGGAATATCATTCCACTCATACTTGGAGTATAAGCGCAACGACGAATTGAGTACTCGTTGTTTTTGATGGTTGTCCCGCTTCTTTTGTGTTGTGAGGCGATATCTTTTTGGCAATGTCTTACTGGATTTTTGTTTCCCTTCAGCAGTTGGTTTACCCAAATATTCTCAAAGATCAGGTATCCATAGATATCCCATATTGTTGAGGTCCTATCTCCATCTCCAGTTTGGTTGTGGTGAATATAACTATATGACCACATCAACGGGTGGTTCACTGCCCGAGATTTCATGAGCAACGTTGTTGATGCTTACCTCCGAAAGTTGTCTTCACCCTGGTTCGACTATGTTTGACCACCATGTGGTTGGAAAACTCCTGGTAGCTCCTTGGCTCCCAATGAATTGCAGAAAAGTTGAATAGCCATATAGGACCCTGAGCTTCCTCCGAAATGATCCAAATCATCCACATCGCTGGCTTGTTACATCGCTTGTTTCATCTCCTTACCCTTGGATGGTTTCCCTGCAACGAATCGCAACTGTTTTTAATAATCATACACATTATAAAAATAACATGCTACAAAACGTTATAACATGTTATATATATACACATATAATATATATATATAAATGACTATAAATGGAGTATCAGGAGGACTTATTTGACAGGCTTCTACTAAGCCATTAGGATGATCCGTGGGATCCGTGGGATGATCCAGCTCCCAATCTTCCAAGGCGCCTTGATTCTTAATGGGCGTCACTGCCTCCGTCAAGCGCCAGTCCACCGCATCGGCGGCCAGTCGCATCTGCTGCGCGGAGAAGTTGTAGACCGGCGCCGTGGGAACGAAGCCTTTGGGCTTCTTCAGCCCCCTGGCACCGGAGGCCACGGCAGGGGCTGAAGTTGCTGGGGGAAACCGGTGAAAAAAACAGATTCAACTAACAAAAATCAGTGAGGCAAATAAATTAAGGATATTATCCAAGAAAAAGCGTAAAGGTCAGGAGAACCACCATGGACCATCCTGGACCATGCTCACGGAAAATGAAAACATGGCCAGAAAAGCATAGTATGGGATATTCAAAATTTTAGCAAACCGTAGTAAACCAACTGATGAAGGGTACGGATGTAACTGATCGAAGTATCTATCAAACATGGTGGTTCTACCCATGGCCCAGATTGGGATTATATAACTGAAAAGCTCGGGTAAGCATGGTAAAACAAACTGGTGAAGGGGAAAATGGTGGAGGATCTCTCTGCTTAGCCAACCAACAGGGGACACAAACAACAAGAAATGATACAACTTGCAAACATGTGGGATGAGTGATGATCAAGCCATAGAAGACATAGGCAATGCTGACATCATACGACCAGTGAAACACTGGGAGCCAACCACTAGTCACTAGTAGCAATAGTGATACATATCATATTGGACAACATCCGCAAAGGACACATTGTAAATCATCAAAACATATCAAAACTACATTATGGGTGGATATGAACGGGGTGTCGCAAATATCTTGGTTTGGACCAAACATCTACTTAGGTAATAAAATAACACACAAACCATTTTGAGTGTGATTCATATCTGAAGACCCTCCAAGTACCCTTAAATATTGTGTTTTACCACATAATATGTTTACTTTGATATTTCTTTGAGGGGTACTTGGAGGGTCTAGATATCAGTAGACCCACAAATGGACTGACCATTCTGTTGCTATTGAATGATTCGCTGAACGTCTCCAACTGATCCCCTCTTGCTCTGACACAATCATTCGCATTCACATAGAACACCCGAGCCTGGCTTCGTCCAAATGTAGGGATCAAAATATGTCTATGAAAAAAAGGGTCCCTCATTCTTCTTCCCATTCAGATGGCCTTGTTGGATCATGAAAAAGGGTATACCCTATTCTCAACCAAACCCATCTCTGACATTCTTGCTATTCCATGAAATTCCAGAAAGATATGACCATATCCCCAGTGCCCTCTGGTAATTCGTTACATGCAGTAATTTAGTTCGATGAATTATCTATCATTGTAACAATGATGTTCCACAACAATATGTTCGATTCATTACCACAGGGTAATCTATTCCGCTCTCAGCTATTACATCCCAATTCAGTCCTATATAGAAATTCCATGTATCATCATCATATCATCATCATATATTCTATTCCCCATAGGATCCATGTATGTTATATATAGTAACATTTACCATCAATATACCCCCAATGTTAGCATATATACCAGCACCATGGATCCTATGGGTTCACCCCAGGCGCCCAATAAACGAATCACACCGGCGCCACGGCTTCGCCACGGCTTCCGCCTCTTGTACTTCTCAGTGTCGTAGCGATCGGCCATCCAGGTGATGCCAAAGACCTTCTCGCCGTTCAACTGGTTCAGCAGCTCCACACGGGCTTGGCTTTGAATGAACCTCATGCCGGCCATCCCGGCCACCGGCCCGCTGCTTAAGGGTTAATTCAATTAAACTGTGTAACAAGCGTGGAAAATATGTGACCATATCGTTTAATACAGTGAAATAGGTGGAAAAAACACAGGTTTAAGTGTACCAAAAACATGTGGGGGATTAAACGACATAGATATATGTGATATATATATATATATGTGATATCTATGGGGACATGGGTTGATCATTCGATATGTACATAACATACCCAACAAGCAATAGGTTTCTTTAAATTTCTCCAGCTTTACCCGACATTTTGTGGGGTCCCGTCCGTTGACAGCCCAGTGTCACAGCATCAGAGCCCGGTTTGCCTTCATGTATGATGCTTAAACCATGCTTAAACCATGTTTAAACCATGGTCAAATCATCTTAAAGCCATGGTTATATAATGTTATATAAACCACGTGGTTTAACCAACTTTTACCACCACTTTGGGACCGGGTACACACTTTGAATCACTTTAACCCACCATGGTCAATGCTGAGTTCAACCCCTACCCTTCACAGGTTGGTTTCGAAAAAACAGGCACGTCACAATTTGTAGCGCGCTTCCTCCTCGTCCTTACTGCCGTAGCTCCTCAGTCTGGCAGGCCGGCAGGAGTTGCGGGACTGGGTTGTTGAAACTTACTTAAAATCCATAGGAAAAAATGATTTAACCAACAAAACAATTGGATTCAATAGATTTTTGTTTTAATAGGAATTATAGCTGATGTCCTGCATGTCTAACTGCAAATCTACAAGGTGGGGACCCCAAACGATAGCTAAGCGGGGCTGTAGTTCCAATAACTTGGGTTTATGGTAATGATGACTATAGTATCCACGGGGGTTATGAATCGACAGAGATAAGTGGGAGACCCCAATTTGTAGTTTTCTTTATCTTATCAGTCATTTCGAGTTTTTTTGTTTTCCAAAGATATCAGATCTTATCAATCATGGCAGCTTCATGGTTCACTGGGTTGATTTAAGGAAACACTTTAACTGGAAACCATTGGTTTACCAGCCATACATCTTGATTTCAGTTTCAACCGTAAATTTTCCTTCAAACCAAGTCTAGGAATGGTGCTTCAACTGGACAAAATATGCAAAACAAGGTCATTAAACAGGACGAATGAGACTTATTGAGACTTGAGAAACACAAAAGGTGGATCCCAGTGTTTCTACGATCGTCTTCTTTGGAAATCAAAATTATCACATCTATTCGTCCAAAACCTTGATCATCTTGATCCCAGAGATACCTCACCATGTTTCTTTTTGGGGAGCAAGGTACCCCTTAGGTACCCCTTTCCCCTTCGCCGACCTGGGTCTATCTAGAAGAGGAAATAACTAGTAACTATAATACATTACATGCATGATGCAACATCAACTATGAACTCATTGAACCTACCAAACGGAGTGATAGACCAGAAATCACCAATACAGCTGGATGCTTTCAATATGATGTGTCTGGGCGTTTCTGAACGAGGAGGTCCTCAAATTTCACTCATTCACTGTGAACCCAAGACCAATGCGGCTTTGAGCCCCAAAATCATTGAAATTTCAAGCTACAAGTACTGCCCATCGTTGGATCATATTCGGGCTAAACTCTCGGATGCAATGATATAAATACCCACGAATCCTGCAGCAACACATGCAGTTTTCCCTCCCTGTAATGGTGCGAAGTGTCTTCATAAACTTACTTTTGAAGGCTCGCCAGTCAGGATCGTGGATATGATCAATGGACGCCGCCACCGGAAGAATCAACGCCGAGATCAAAAAGCCCAGCGCCATGATGAAAGGAAAAGGTGACGGACTGTGGAGCGTTCCCAAGCCAAAATTGCTGGGAAGGGCGGACCATAAAATATAATGATAGTGGGAGTGGGAGTGCATTCTTTCTCCCGAATAATTAAGGATGGTTTGGTATTAAACCAATCTCCAAAGAAGTTGGGGCGTCTGATTTGATGTGACAAATTCAAAGGGAGGGGTGGCATGTTTTCGGATGACAACATGCAGATTGCATGGTTCAAAATGTCCCTAAGATGGCAGGATTTCATTGCAAACAACATGTCGAAATCCATCATTTACAGCTGCAGTTTCCTACCCAAGACATCTCAAGACGTGGGTTTTCCTGCCATGTTTGCAGTGGGAAATCTGCCATGTTTCCACGGCGCATCCGCGTTTCCCCGCTGGAAAGGATTTGTTGTTTTCCACTCGCTGTCGCCGCATCATCCATGATTTACCTCCATTTTGGGATGGCCACAGCAATCCGCGGACTGGCAATGACTCACCAGAAATCAGCAAGAGAGTTGGAATCTGAGGACTGCTTCTTTGCTGATCACTATCATATATACAAAATATTCACTGTATTATGGGGTGTTCACAAAAGCCAAGGAACACTCAATTTTTACCTTTCCCAGTTGATTTGTTTTATGAATGATATTCAAGAGACCCTTGTTTGTTCAAAACAACTCCTGCGGATGACGCTGCAGTTCTTCAGTTTGTCTTCCGTCTCATTTGTAGATGATGCACCTGAAGACATCAGTGGCATATGATCAGCTATGACCAGTGATGAGGACTATGTTCCCGACTTTCACCTTCAAGATAACCACACAACATGAGTGAACGTACCAACATTGTTGGGGAAATAGACCGGCTTAGATGGGTGTGTTGGGTATATTGGGTGTACACACATGCACAACATCAAACATGAAACAACAACACTGGTGGCAATTTTCCATCTCTAACGGCTAAGTTGATGTGTCGCTCTGCGTCCCAATGGCCTTGGCAGCATACTAGCCCCTCTGCCCCAGTCAAAGGAGTTGACATGGTGCAATAGAAACGAATAACTACCAATCTTCAGACATGCGCATTCTATTGCACAGGGTTTCCTGCAGATAAACACACACTTACAATTGGAGATGCGCCTTCTGCTCTCCATATTCCACAGGTAACCAGCATTGCAACCTGGTGCTCTCACAGGACCAGGGGCCCCCCTGGTTTCAGGTCTTAGCATCCAACTGAAAAAATCGATGATCGTCCCAACTTACGTTGCCATTGAAGAATGACATGTGGATGTAATACCTAAGATCTTGTTACTTATTCCATGGGGATGGGTTGTATCATCGCGGATCCCATTCGAGTTTTTAGCCATGGTTTTTCCAAGAACCCGGATTTACATTTTTTTGTTTATGCTTGACAATCCCTTACCAATCATCGGAGAACAATCCACATGATTGTCATCCAATGACCTTCTATACACTATTAGTAGGATATAGTAGCATATTATACTATTACTAGCGTATTATACTCTATTAGTATTCTGGTTGGTGGTATACCTACCCCTCTGAAAAATGATGGAGTTCGTCAATGGGTTGAGGATGACATCCCATATATTGAATTATGGAAAATAATCCAGTCATGTTTGAAACCACCAACCAGCTATTAGCAAAATTGATCTACGCTACGTAAATCGACAAGCTTCTCACCTGCCATCCACCTGGGGAATCGCGCAACACGCTTGGCCACATCGATGGCTCTCAGGCTCGTCGCAGAGCTGTTTCTGGAGAGCTCAAGCGATGCTTGGAGAACTTGGAATATCTAAATATGGTGGATGAATTTGATGGAATATCTTGATGTGATGGGTATATATATATAATGGTGGATTCCATGAATGGTGGATTAAATCCAAGTATCATTGCGGTTTGATGGAATATGATATTAGTGTTATATACAAAAAACACATTTCCATTAATGTGTGATTAAATCCCAGGATGCAATGACGTATCGTAATCTGATGAGGAATTTGGTTCTTGTAATGGGATATGATATATTAACTTTAGGATTTTGCAATATGTACATATAATATACGTATATATATATATATTATAATGGTGCATTGATGGGATCTTACTATAATGGCTACAGTATAGGTCTCCCAAATAATTAATGTATGTTGGCTGAACAACACTCATCAACATGTGCATATGCGCCCCAAAAACCCTATAGTTAACCTACTTATAAACCAACTTAACACCGTAAGGGGCACCACATTGTTGTGACTCCATTATTTACCAACATTTCCAGTACATCACTGTAATCCATGGAGGTATTCTACTGTATTTGATACGCTATGTCACTTCTCCTAGAAAATGATCAAAAACCACAAGAGGAGCTTTGCAAGAATCATGGTGCCGATTGAAATCCTGGAGGAAAAATTGCCCTGCAGTCCTGTTTGATTACTTGGGCCTTGGGCAAGGCCCTGGTGAGGGAATCGATCCAGGAAAACTACTGATCTTCCTTTTCACAACATGAATGGGGATGAATACTCTCATCCCCCTTCCTGTTTTGTTTCAGGCTGGATTACTTGAACAAAACATAACAAAACCAAACCATGTTATAGGTTTTGCTTAAAAAACAACATGAATTCTCTCCACAAAAGCATGCTGTTCCATCCGGCCACCATTCCAGCTCACTTCAGCATTCCATGGCAAGCCATCATCCCCCGGTCCTCGCGACGTGCATTCCACAGGTGTGAGGCCGGGATGTGGAATTTCGCCACCAAGGGATCATTGTCGCTACCTGAGCCATGAGTCCAGGACACAGGACTTGAACCCAAGGATTTCTGGGCACTACCATAGGATTGCAGTGAAACTTAAGGAATAAAAACAACATCAAAAAGCGCCATAAATTGGGTCTGGTGGCAACTGTCTTCGGATTCGCCAAGGTCGCACAATTGTCACTTCTGTTTTGATCTTTTGCACTGTGTATCCACAAATGGCGGATACACAGGTGCTTAACCGATTCAACTAATGCGAACGAAGTGATTCATCATGCATCATCCCAAGCAAATGTGCATAGTGTGGGCAACTCAATCATAAACCAATCGTTTGGGGATGGTCTATACCTTGCCACCCAATGCCAACAGCCAGTAACAGCGACAAAAAACCACCCGTTTATGATGTTTATGGCAATTTTGGGGATGGTTTATTATTGGATTTCCCACGTTACTTACTTGATGAAAGCAACAACATAAGCGAACATATGTGGCACCAAGGCCTGATTTTAGTTTAACCCCCCATCATTCAAACCAACACTCATACAACTTCCACCTCAACTTCTGATAAACTTCCGATAAAGCTCAAGCTACAACTGGTGCACGAATCGCGTTCAGCATTGAATTCGCAGCCGAACATGCAGCAGCAATGATCTCCGCACTTGTATGCATTCTTGGCCTGAGGGCACACACATACTAGACCCGAGTTCAGCTCGCCAATCGAGTAATCCCCAACGGTTTTACGGAACGGCTGTTTCACCCTGGGGGTGAAGTATCATATTGTTCCATACATTGACAATGCTTGGGAAATGACATGACATGACTAAATGACCACTCAGAAACTTGGTTGAATTGTGAGGAACCATCATAGACCAATGCCTGCAGTTTGTTTACCCATTTGCCATTTGAGTCATTGCGAGGGTGGAGACCTGTCTGTATAATTCAGCTAGCAGGATGACTCCACCAAGTTCTTCCGGACTGGAATGTGAGCCATGGGCAATGGGCATTGATCAGCTCTCATGACTCTCTTTGCTCAAAATTAGCCCTAGACAAATGGCGGCACAGGTCTCTGGATACATCAACATCTTTGTTATTCAACATACTAGATATATACTATCAACATCTATCAACATAGATATCTTGGTATCTCTATATCTTGTTATTCATCCCTATTTTGGTATCTCTATAGATACTTCAACATACTTCAACATACTTCGACTATGAAACCCAGCCCAACCCCCCAACCCCAATCATCGCCTCACATGTCCCGCCGGTAAGCCATGTCTGGGACCCGGGAACCCTGAGTAATTCGCGCTCAGCGAATTGGGGATGGAGCAAGATGCTGTGGGGATATCAACCAACTGATGGTGAGATGGGGTCATATATTACTGGTTGGTGGTTGACCTACCCCTCTGAAAAATATGACCGAACTCAATTGGGATGATTACATTCTCAATATATGGAAAGTCATAAAAGCCATGTGCCAAACCACCAACCAGATTATATATGATTGTATATATATATATATATATGTAATCATATCACACTGGCATATGATATTCACACTATTTCATATGTCATTTCACTCTGTGAGATATGGAATGTCGGATGTGTTCTTCATTGTTTGGGTGTTTATGTGACTCCATAGACCAACCATGGCTTCAGGGATTTCCGTGGCCCAAAGGGGGGGCTGGATCGGTGGACCGAGCGGCTTTGAAAACCAATACGTCAAGGGAGCCACAAAGAGGAGCGGAGATCTATCCATCGTTATTGGTGATATACTGTACACTCACACTGGTTGCTGGTGTCCTCAATTCTATAGCAAGTCTATTGCATCCTCAATGGGTGGTGTGCATTAGCCATGTTGGTGAAACAGATGAAAAAACTCTGCATCCTTGTTTACACAGCATTTGAGATTGCATCGTGTGTATACCATGGTCGCTGTGTCGCTCTTGTATCCTGCCCAGACGGGTTTGGTTCAAAAATCAGCCAAAATAGCGGCACATCTGGATATTTCTTCCCTTCAAACCTGTCATTTGTTTGGGGCAAATACTTCTGAACAATACAGCACCATCAACGGAAAACCAAGCTGATTCAACCAAGTAAGATATTCGAAAACAAAAACAGGTGTCATTTCCCTTAAGTGATTTCCACATTCAAAAAACACGGTAAGATGTTACCATGATCTTACCGAACAACTACCATGGGGAAACCCCGCTTGCACCGACGTCCAAGTCTCGGATCGGGTTTCGGCGGCGCCACCAGCTTTTTTTCAGCGACGGACGCACCTTCCCTGTGGGGCTTGCCATGAATCATGATGAACAGATATATCTGATTGGTGGTTATAACATGTTTTAACTATCTTGAAAAATGATGGGGTTCGTCAATGGGAAGGATTATCCCATATATTGAATTATGGAAAATAAGAAATGTTTGAAACCACCAACCAGATATGGCCTTTATAATCCATATAATTCTATATAGATGATTTGCTGATCAAAAGCTCCATCATGCTCCATCTATATCTATTCAATAGGAGTTGTTTTCCATTGAAATGAGCAAACCAGCAAAGGCAATGGATAAAGAATCTTAAAGCTGTTCTAACCCATTTAAGGATCTCCCAACTTAGTCTACAGTCTAGTTATACATTGTGGCACCAAATAACTTTGTAATTAGTTGGACACATATAATATAAACATATAATAACAATTGAACTAGTATAAACGCCAAAAACAATCATGGTTCATCAGTTTCCTCTTCAAAATCATAAGCAGCTGTATCCCGTTTTATCTCCCAACTACCCCCATTGATGGCGCGTTTAAAGATCCTCAACTTCCGCAATGTTCGTATCCGATTACATCCCTCAAAAAAAACACTCAAACATGGTGGGTTGCTTTATATACCATTAATATCACACTGTACCTCCATCATACCCGCATCATTAACATGGTTGGTTTATATATCCATCCACTTACAAGAAGAAAGATCCTCCGCCGAGCAGCGCAGTGGCCACCGTGGAAGCCGCAGCAACACAGTGCCTGTCGTGTGTTTCGCATGTCGAAATGGTGAAGGATCGAAGGAGCTTGAACCTGTCTTTGGGTCATCTGGCGGTTGTACATGTATATACATATATATATATATGTATTATATAATATCATATATATATATATGTATTATATAATATTATATCATATCATATCATATCATAACATATCATATCATATCATATCATATATATATATATTGTTTGTTATATCGCTCTGGAATATTCTGGGTTCTGGAGTTGATACAATTCTTAGCAGGTGATACAGTTGCCACTTGAGAAGTTTCAAAACATGTTCTCAAGCCACACCTACCACCTTGGTTTAAGATCACCAATGAGCCTCGAAATGATCACTTACTAGACCCAGAGTAGTCACTACGAATTGCTGGAACTAGTTGTTCAAAACCGCCAGCTACAACCTGAAAGCCCCTGTCATGTCATGATTTGCAGCCAGAGATAGGGCGATGTTGCGATGTTGTTCACACATTTCCTCTTACAGTAAACATTGTTTGCCTTAAACAAAACCTGGATGTGCCCCAGAATACACGTGGGTTTGGCAACAACTCACCAACCCACCAATTTCTTTTCGTGCCAGGAACTGCCACGTCACGTAGAACCTTTCAAGCTGTTTTCAACATTTGTCATCCATATTATGTTCAATTCCAAAATGGGGAGGTGAATACATTTGACATTTGAGTTCCTTGGAATACTTTCCACGCCACCAATAATGTGGTAAACCTGGTAAACCCTAAACCATCTCCAAAATCACTACACATTATGGGTTCTATGAACCATCCCCAACTGAGATTTATTCTTGAGTTACCCAAATTACTGGTGATTTTCATGTTCAATTTCCACATCTCATGTGCGATGGCCGCACCTCTGCTCTAGATCCCAGCGGTATTTACCATGGCAACCTAAGTGCGCTCCGTCACCGTCACTGCTTCGCGGCTTCCATATTATACACCTGGACCCTCCAAATTCACCAAACAACTGCTAGTACTGAGATTATGCTGTAAAACCAATTTTACAGGTACTTGGAGGGTCTAGGTAAAGATAAAATGATACAGGCATACATACATATACAATATTTATATACATATGTATATGTGTATATATATATATATATATAGTGGCAGCAAAGTACGCCTGATACAATGGATATACCTGGGATATTGATTTAACAAACGTGACAGACTACAGAAACCACAGAGATTGATTCCTCTCCTGGTGGATTGAAAAAAAAACGTCTATCTGGTATAATTAGTATGCAACCTAGGTGCTTGGCGTTTCAAGCCCGTCCCAAGAATATTATGCAATGTTTCACTGATCATCCTCACCAAGCAGTTCCTATACCCTCTGGTGAACTAACATAGCCATGGAAAATCCCTCATAAATGAAGGTTTTAATGGGAAAATCCACTATAAATCACAATTTTCAATAGCTATGTTAAATTACCAGAGGGTAACACTTGTCTGTTCACCCCAACTAGGGCCTTTAAACCCCCGGGGCCCCGGGGGTTCCTTAGATCCAGTTCTGAGCCACTGACAACATGCCTTGCCGCAGGCATGGCTATGCTCAGGTTCGCAGGTACCCTCCTGGGAACAACGGCACAACTCCGTGGCGCAGAAGTTGATCACCTACTTGTCGACATGGATCTACGGATCTACTATCTGTAAACTATTCAAATATTTCAAATCAACTGCACTCCAATCAGAAAGGGGAGTCAAGGTCCTGATGCTGGAGTGGATCGAAACAAATTCAGATCAAGTCATCAACCATTACATCCCATGACATTGTGTACCCAATACCTTCTGGTTGATTCAGTATTTCCGTGAGCTCTACAAGGTGGGGCCGCCCAGTTACAAATTGGTGCATAAACCCCGTAGTTCCCGTAGTCCTATTCCCCATCAACCCAAAACATCCAAACGCCCTGACCCCGCTGACCAAGCCATGAACCAGGAAAACATCGCTGTTTTCAGGGCACTTTACCACCATCAAATCAGAGATTTGCTGATTTGGCAGTGTGTCAAAACCTTGTACCCCTGTAGTTCACATCAAAATAGCTGGTAAATGGATGTTCATCCCCTAAAAATGGTATGTATAGGTATTGATCCATAGCCATTTTGCTGACTCCAAAGCACTTTTCCTGCTGTGAAAAGGGCGGTCCTTGATGCGCTCGGCCCAGAGATGGGACGAGGGAATGTGGAAACTCTTCACCTGAGGGCTATCAGCACCTCGGCGCCGGGAGCCGTGGGTCGTGACCCGAATCTGTTCAGAGCAAAATCGCTGAAGTCTCTGGGATTTACTGATTTACTAGTTATGGTTATGGTTATGTTGTTCTGGAACTTCATTTTACCATATTTTACCCAACATTCTATTTCGGTATTCCATAGGTCACTCTTACTCGAGCCCCATGGCTGGACAAGAAATTGTAACTGCATGCGGAATCCAATTCCGTTTGCCCAAGGAGATGTCAACAACAAGGGGATTCTATCCTGGAGTGAGTTAATAAAAGCCTCAGCAAATGTCAAAGCTGGGTTTAGAGCCTTCGGAGAGCAAATTGGATCTAGGTCTGTCGATTCAACCGTTTTGTTGGGTATAGCTCACAACAGGAAAACTCTAAACTCATAGCATTCGGTATAAAGAACCCATACCTAATGTCCAATTTCACTAGCACAGAACATGGTTGAACTTAGTTCCACTTTTACACCTTTGGGGATTTCCAAAATGAACATGTTATTCGCAATAGTGCTGAAATTTCCCATGAAAACAATGGCCTTTTTTGGGGGTTCCCAAATGTCTACCCGGTAGCCTCCCACCATTGTCCATGCAGGTCACTGCAGGCGCTACAACTGTCTTTCTCGGGGTTGAAAACGCAGCCGAAACGACAGCAGCAGTGCTGTCCATCGCTGCAGCTGTAGGCGTTCCTGGGAAGCCAACCATCCGAAAAAAAAAAGGTCGGTGGTTCTAATGGATTGGTTTAAGGGACAAAACATGCAGGGATTCAATTGGGATTTCCCATTATATTACCATATCCCATTAAAGAGAAAACACACATATTGATATATGAAAATCGTTGCATTAAACACATGTTTTGCTGATTAAATCCCCATAGTGGTATGACCATATCATACCATATCAGTTATCAGGTGGTGCCCCCGCAGTTATGTCTGTTGATTTATTTTTCCTGGTTAAGTTAGCATTTTTTCTTGGTCAAATCATATTTTTCTTGGTTAAATCATCATTTGTTCTTCGTTAAATCATCATTTTCCTATGGTGTTTCCAACCTGGGAAGCAGCAGAAAATCCATAAAAAAACCCTCTCCTGCTCTCACAGCTGATGCCTGCGGCCGTCCAAGTCTGGGAACCTGGCAGCAAACGAACCACGGCAACCGAACCGGCTGGCACAACACCAGAGTTACAAAGAGAGCAAACAAAGATGGTATAATCACAATAAATGTTTGGTATACATATATATTATATATTATTGTATATATATATAATAATAATAGTAATAATAATATTAATTATTATTATTAGTGAATAAATGGTATATTTCTTGGCATATTGTTTTTATTTTGGCATGATTGAAGATTGAATATTATAACATCTATAGACGGTATAATGTATATTACTATCATATTATATAAATACTGTAACAACTAATATTGGCATTGTGGGTGTGTTCATGCAATTTATAGATGACATAGATGTTAGATGATATACTGAAACATCTCAATTTTAGATGATGTAGTAATGTTATAACGCATTTAAGTCATTTATCAACAAATTGTATTTTACATGTATCAAAAATTAATGACAGTGTATCAACTATAAAGGTATTGTGGGTTTATATAAACCATGTACACTTGATATAGATGATATATCATTTATCATATTCCATTTTTAGATGATATAATATTCCATTCATGGTCAATATTGTATCGATATTTATTTCACCTACAGTATAAATGGGATATACCACATTTTTCAGGCCTCGAAAATCTGTTCATGTTGGTGATGCCAAAAAAGCACTATAATCCATATATGACTGGGAAATAGCGCTCCCCATGAAAACTACAGAACATGGATACCCGTAGCTCCTCGCAGTTCCCAACCACCAGATAGTTCAACTCCCAACTTGTTCTTAGGTAAATGATGGCAACATGGATCCGCATCAATATGCTTGAATGGCTCCAATCACCAAAGAGACTATCAGTGGAGCCTAATTGGATGTGCATCCCACTCTACAAAGTAGCTAATAACATCTAATAAACATATTATACCACAGTTAGACTTGGAATACCCACACTTACCCTATGGTAAACAAACATAGCTATGGAAAATCACCATCTTGAATCTTTAAGAACGATAAATCAACTATTACTAAAAGTGCCATTTTCAATAGCAAACTCTTAACTTATCAGAGGGTGTATATATATATGATTATATATGGCTTCTTAACAACAATAAATATATATATATAATATACATATATATATATGTATATATATAATATGTATATAGCTTCTTCTTAACCACCATACATCTCTGGGATGCACATCCCTTGTGGAGCCGGCCAGCTTTAAGATCTTTACTCGCGCAGCGCCTGGCACCACATCCTCAGGTGGTACCTGGATGAGAACATGGGGATAACTATCATAGTTATAAATATATATATATATAAATATGATGGGATATAACTAACCAGCTATTTTGCTATTTTCTTCCTCGGGACTGTACTAGTGCCCACTAGAACATGGTGTTTTTTGTTTGACCCATAATCTTAGTGTTATTGACATGTGTTTGGGGTATTTGGAGGGTCTCGGTATGGTGCTTTAACATAATTCATGTCCAATTTAGTGCAATTAAACCAGGCATGAGTTAAGCAACCAAAAATGGGGAGTTGACAAACCCGATATGAACATTTAGCGAGTCAAACAAGCAAACATAGAGTATATGTCAACTTTGGGTACCCAACGGGTGTTGGAGATGCCTTTAGATCTGTGAGGGCAGCAGGACCTAGACCGACGTTGACATATCTTTCAATCATAACCATGAAAGCATTGATCATACATTGTGAGTTTTCTTGAAAAACATTACCACCATATGTTCATCAGGGTACAATGATGTCCCACTGGCAGCTATATCTAAGCCCCAGGGATCTCCGTATCTCCTTTTTTGGATTGTATGTTAATGCCAATACCGTGGTGGTGTGATTGGAACCCGTAATCATACTGGAATTAAATGGTACTGGATCCCGAGGCACTAGAGTAAGTTGAGTTACCCTCTGGTAAACTAACATAGCTATTGAAAATTGCCATTTATAGTGGTTTTACCCATTAGAAATGGTGATTTTCCATAGTTATGTTAGTTTACCAGAGGGTATCACACTTGTTCATCTGACCCAAGACCAGCTCAACCTCTTTCAATGAACCATTTGATCCTAACGAAATTATGTTATTGCTTACCAAGTTGACTTCCTCATACGTTCTACAGCCTTAGTTACTGTCCAATCACATTGTTAACAAAAACATACAGTAAATGGCAAATGATTTTCTGATTAATATTCCTATCTTTGATTGCGAGAAAATAACATGCTTTCCCGTATATAAATGTGTTTGTCTGAAATAGGGCACAGCCAAATTTCAATCGTTTCTCATCATGTTCCCTCTTGTACTTGCCACTTTGGGTTATCCACCATTTTTCAGACACACCCACATCTATCAAGTTATCCCCCATTTGGTTATATAGGTATATCAAAATCCCATGCAATATACAATATTAAGTAATATTCCCATTGTATATATATACACTATTTAATATTTATAATGATTATATATCCCCATCCCATTTTTGCTTGTCATATATATATATATATTTACACATGTTCATATCCCCAATAGCATCCCCATATTCGTTGCTGAAAAATCCTCCGTGAACTCGACATCACCATGGCACCGGCGGTGCAGGCAACGTTTCGATGACCATCGCCAAGTCTTCAGCGGCCTCGCCTCGCCAAGCTGGGCTATCCTGAAATCTCAGTTTCCTTGGGATATCAATAAACTATGGATATGAAAAATCTATGATATCAATAACTATGGTATCTATGGATATCATAAACATAGGTATCTCATATCTCATAGATATCATATATTCATATCCAAACTATATGAAATTATGAGATATGATATCTATGGATAGCCCAGCCATTGCTACTGAAGATACAACTACACTGCAATTTCTTTTATGAGATATCCATTGATTTGTAACAACGGAATTATGGATTATTTCCGACATATCAGTATAGTTTCTATATGTTTCTATGAGAATTTCTTGTATTTATAGTACCTTGGATTTTGGGGTGGCCGTGGGTGAAGATGGGATGTGTCCCAGCAGTGAAGGTCAATAATTCAATGATGCTTCGATGTTTTTTATCATTGGATACAATTGATACGCTATGATAATGTAGTGGGGATGCAACAAATGGGGTGTAGATGTACACTGCAACCAACAACATGATATTCGGGTTTGTCAATTGTTCAAAAAGGTTTCCATGGTGAAATATGTATGTCCGTGTGGATGTGGCAGCATGCATCTAACACCATTAAAACTGATTGAACTATGTCGATTTCTTCTTGAAGAATAACATTGCGTTGTTTTCCCCAAACACGGGTGACATACTAGCATGATATGGCCATGTTTATGAGCAACATGTCGATTTACAAGTGAATATGGGTAATTTGTTTTCTAATTGTTCTCAGTCATGTTTATTGTTTGACATATACATTTGTTTGCAAAATTTGGTCCTATTTTTTTCATGTTGTAAGATTTGTTTTTGCCAACTATGGCCTATGGCCCTATGTGGCCCCAGTTTATTCAAGTTTGGTCAAAACCATATCAACATGAACATGATATGGTTGGCTTTGAAGCCAAATTTTGTCATTGTGAGAAATTCAGGCTTACAAATATATACAAATGTATATAAATTTATTCTATTTTATTATATCATTTTATATTATATTATATTATGTCATATTATATTAAATGATATTCTAGATTATGTCATACATTATATATATATATAACTAGATGTATTACAGAATCATTTGGGAATCAGGTGTTTTCCCCTGAACATCCAGAATGAGCTTGGACATCGCAACGTCCGGACTTCCCAGACCGCTGGTTACACAGAGCCGGTAACGGCACCCCCGTCTTTTTCGTCTCTGACGGTTCTTGAAAATTGATGTGGAACCACAATGATTTAATGGTATTTATGGTGGTTTCATGGGAATTTATGGTGGTTTAATGGTGGTTTATGGTGGTTTAATGGGATCTAATGGGAATTTATGGTGGTTTAATGGGATTTAATGGTGGTTAAATGGAATTTCATGAGAATTTATGGTGGTTTAATGGGATCTTTCATGGGATTTTTCATGGGATTTAATGGAATTTACCCGGCCTGGTAAACTGCTCCATAACGAACTGGAAAATCACCATGCTATTTTCATGGGAAAACACACTTTTTCTATGGCCATGGCTTCAATAGCGAACTGTTAGTCATTACCAGAAGGTACACATGTGAAAGGTGTGCCCCTGACTAAGTCAACATTTCCGTGCTTGTACCCTCTGGCAATTTAACATAGCTATGGAAAATCACCATCTATAGTAGGTAAATCCACTATTTCTATGGTCATTTTCAATAGCTATGTTAGTCATTACCAGAGGGTAAATATGACCACATAACCGGATGCAAGTTCCCATTCAAACGATGCAATGGCATAATGGGGTGCACCTCCCTGAATCTCTGACCGTGGACACCTGAACAGATTTGATGAAACACCGATCCGATCCATACAATTATTAATATAGCCCGTAAGAGTTATAACTGGCTTATAATGATATGTAATATATATAACCTTACTTGTAAGAGTTATATATAATACCATTTATAACTGTTAATTAAGGGCCATTTGTCGTTTATGGTTTAAACCCCATAGAACCAGTACAATCGATGGTAAAGTCCTACTGAAATCCAATCGTTTGATGGTTAAACCATTAATTAAAACCCAAAAAGTCCCTATATTAACCAATCAACAATCCTATTTTAAATGACTCACATAGCTCACCCAGCTCACCCAGCGCTCCCACGTCCCGGGCTCCCAAGCAATGGCGCGTCTCCATGTTCCAGCGAAAGTTCGCATTGCAGCAGCACGCGGCCCCGCAGCGATGCGCAAATTCGGCGCTGCAAATCCTTGGGGCAAAAGGATGGGATTACAACACATATATATATAATGGTGGTTTGTATATGTTACATGTAATTTACATGTTAGATTATAACTATAACATACTATAACCCTCTTATATCTGTTGACCAATGGGGAAAATCCCAACCAGATCTTACAGTTTCCTCTCATGTAAAGCATTGAACGAATTGCGCTAAATGTGCCATGTTCAATAGCTATGTGAACATTTCCAGAAAACAATTGGCTTTTGAGTAACAATCGCATATTGATTGACTATATAGCAAGGCATCCACTGGTTGGTGGTTGGAGCCTTTCCCTCCCAATTTTCGTTGCTTGGGAGTGAATCATCATGAATCATCCATATTACAATTGAAACTGACCAAACAAGTTTGTACCCATTCGACCAATCAAAGAAAAGGTTAAGAAACATCTCATCTCAGATGGTCATTTTTGATATGGAGGCCAAGCAGTTATCCGACCGCAGGATAACTGTGTCCAGGTTTCCCTTCAGCGCGTTCTTTCCACAGATGCGAGGAAGGGATGTGAAACTGCCGTACCTCACGAGGCAGCGATCCATGTGAGCAAAAAAACAAGTGCTGATGATGTGGATATGGATCGAATACCTACTCGAATTCACCGGTTCACCTGCAGGTTCGCGGCATACCCATCCATCTTTGGCTTCACATGCTGGTTAAATCTCTTCCCAGAATGTGCCGCTTTGGTAATGGCTCTGGAGCCAGGGTAGTTTTTGTGGCTGCCACCTTCAGTTTTTTGGACTTTTTAAGTCGGTGAAACCGGATGGTGGACGTCCCTGCAGTTTTTTTTTTGCTGGGTCCACAATTTCTTTTGTTTCTGACATGTCCGGAAGGACATCCTTTTGGTGTTTTGTCATATTGGATGCTGCCCTCACGTCTTTGCACTTCTTCAAGATGCTGCCCTACATAGATGCATGTTCATCTACATAGATGTCTGGTATTATTTTGTTCATGATGTTTTTATGAGCCACATCCATTTTGTTCACTTTCACCACTATCAAGTGTTAGTTGACCCTGATTAAACCTGGTGAAAAAAACGATTTGATAGTGATTGAGCCATACCAATGTTAAGTGATTGAGCCATGGTTTCATTGACCCAACCCCGACCCCGACTGGGCTCTTCATGGCTCCGCCATCGGCTCCACGCCCCGGCCCCCGCCCCGGCCCCCGCCCCGGTCACCAAGGGATCTGCGGCATCACAGGCGGTGCAGTTGTCCTTTTCCAAGTCATAGCTGCAGCCGAACCTGATTTCCCCGGTGGATTCTGAACGTCAATGGTGATGAAGAGCTGAACGAAACGGGGGATTTCAATGATTTCACAAAGAACATTTGAGATTTCACTGAGACAAACATGAGGATCAACAGGATCAACAAAAAACGGATTTATACATGATTTTAGGGGTCAAGATACTGGGATCTGACTGGGATTTTACTACCAAGTACAGAGCTTTCACCATCAATCTGATGATATAACCAATTCACAACTAATTCATAATAGTTGGCAACCTAGGTTGTGCACCCCAATCCTTAGCTAAGTTGGCTGACAACTGTTAACTCCGACAACTCTTGGGTTTTATTGTAGACGTATCTATGGTGAATGGGCTGGAACTTGCAACTTGGGTCCAACCCAACCAACCAATATATGGCGCCACGTCTTTTCACAATGCGTTGGCCCCAATCCTGCGGAGAAGCGTCTGAACATGGAGGGATTCACCAAAAATATATCGCAAAGTTCATGGTGAAATAAATTGAAATAAGTATTTTTTTCCACTGGATGTTGGACTTTGCCAATACATTTTGATACATCTTGGACACCATTTGCTCATCATGATCTGGTTGGTGATTTTAACACATCCGAAAGAGAAATTCGTCATCTTCAACCCATCATCCCTTTCGCATGCTGGAAACAAATAAATAAATATTTGAAACCACCAACCAAATGATGATAAACCATGATATTGTTGCCATCATATTCCATAATCCCATTATTATACATCACATGAATATCAATGTATACTTAAATATTCCATTACTATCCCAATTTTCATATCCCAGATTTAAAGCCCCCAAAAAAAATCCCATGATCACCATGGTCCGCACATGCAGCAGCAGCGTTGCCCGTCTCCACAGGTATAGGCGTTCCTGTTGATGCTGATTGGGATGTGGTTTGTTTCTAAACATCTTCACTAGAAACTGGAAGGTTTTGAATGGTTTTACTATGTTTTACTAGTCAAAGATGGGATTCTATATCTTTGTTTCCATACATTCAATGAATTGGTTTGTCGCGAACATCTTCGTTGGGTTTACCCCATTCAGGTTGGGTGTAAAAATGGTAGAATTTTCAGCTAAGGTGAACAGTTCATCGATGAAGCATACTACTACAAGTCATGTCCCTATGGAGAGTAACTCTGCCTAAATCGTCAAAACAATTTCCACATACTGGTTGGTGAATGGGGAACGATCGGTGACAACTCATGGCAAATCCCTCCAAACATTTTTTCTTGTAGGCAAATTATCAACCAATTCCAGAATTTGAATGAAGCTTGAGTTGAAGCACTTCCCCTTACTACCAATATGAAATTGTTGCAAAGTCTCTATAATTTAGATATCCAGACATGCTGAGACAAACCCCATACACCCATCAGAAAGGGTGCGACCATGACCATTGCTGTATTTTCGATCGCAAGACCATCTTCGACTGGTTTGTGGTTTCAACCCAGAAAGTATCCAAAAGCACTGGTGGCGAGAATAATCAAACAACATATCCAGTATAAACACATATTGAATCTTCAACACCTAAGCAGTTTGTTGAAAACCGGGACATCCGCGAATGAAATGAAGGTGTATAAACCAAAAGAAATCATTGAGCTATAGCTGGAATATGTTTTGGTTTAGCAAGCCATGGCGCTGATGATTTGAGGGTATAAATACGACAATCCTATCCCATCTCATATGGTCAACCCAAATATAAACCATCCCTTAAACCATCCCTTACCCATATGCTCCATGGTGCTGGTATATTTACCAACAGTTGCCCAACATAAATCACCCAGTTTTGTAGGTATACCAGCACCATGGTTCGCATATGGGTTATCTTGGTTATCTTACATTTTACCATCATGAAATCCCCTCTGGTAAACTGCTCCATAGCGAACTGGAAAATCACAATTTGCTATTTTCATGGGAAAAAACTCACTATTTCTATGGCCATTTTCAAGTTCGCAAACTGTTAGTTTACCAGAGGCTAACTATAAATGGCCGTTAGTTTTCCATGGGAAAATCCACTATTTCGACTGGGCCATTTTCAATTTCGCAAAACGTTAGTTTACCAGAGGATATATCCCATTAATATCCCATTGAATTAGTACTATAAAATCCCATTAAACCACTATAAGTGGTCATTTTCAATAGCAAGCTGTTAGTTTACCATCATTAAGTAACCATAGGATGGGTGCCTTCCACCCACGCCATCCCCAACTCCGTGGCGCACCTTGCCGTGCATCGGTCCGAGGATTCATCCGAAGGCCAGGTCTGGGAACCTCGGCGCGGACAGCAGGGTGACAGCCATGCAACAGGAACCGATTGGAGGTACCTACCATATTTAAGGCCTATATTAAAGGGAATATCCCCAGAAAATATGGCCAAAAATATGATCTTATATGTGACTAAGTACCTCTACAATAAAGGATCCTGAAATTCCCACTGAATATTGGTATAGACAATAAAAGAGGTATTGAACAGAATCACGCCCCCAGGATTTAGAAGATATTGAGCCTCCACTTGTTATGTCTCGTTGGATTGCCATGAATACTATAGTTACCCTTGCCATAAAGTCTGGTGAAATTGGATTACCCAAATTAGCTATCATTTGGGGGCCCCACTAGAAAACAATAGGGTATTAAAAACAATAGGATATGGTGATGACATTCTGAAATGACAAGAAAGATGTAGAAACCGCCACGAGCCAGTGACGATGCAAGAGACGTTGGCCCACGCGAATCCGGCGCTTACCAACGCACATGGAACTTTAGAAGGCGAGAAACAACACATAAAGTTACGGTACCAGCCAAAAGATGCCTGGTTGGTGGTTTGAACCCCTCTGAAAAATATGAAAGTCAGTTGGGATTATTCTTCCCAATATATGGAAAGTCAAAAAAATCATGTTCCAAACCACCAATCAGATGCCATCTGACTTAACAGCAAGAAAACAGCAGGACCAACTCAGCCGCAGCTCGCGCCTGGAATGGGCACTGCACGTGGCACTTTCGGGACTTCAGTGCCTGAGGCTGCGGCCAACGAGAATTCTTACAAGGAAAACCTCTCGTACTTGAGCGGCATTCATAAAAATCCAGTTTTTGGATGGGATTCAAATGGGCGTTAACGCTAATCATCAATGAGAACGGTTTGGCCAATACGAAAACATGTGGGGTTGGCAGGTCGATAGTCATGATGTTTGGTTGGGTTTGGCAGAAGGTCCAATACACAACGGATACTATCGAATCATCCAGTGTGGAAATCGCCATGCACATATCATATTGGGGTTTACAAACTGGTGTCTTGTAAGTCTTGCCTTAAACCAATCTATTACGTCTTCTGCTTGATGCTATCCTCCTGATCTTAGATTCGCCTATATGGGTCCCCAAACATGTTTTTTTTCACAGATCCAAAGCTATAGCAGCAGCCGATGGGCAAACGTGCCTTTTATCCATCCATGTAAAGTACAGGAAATTTCAAGGATACCTGCGCTTAGTCGTCAACAACACATCTGCAAGAGAAACTAGTGGTTTGGGTAACATCCCAACTACCCATTTTTTTTTTTTGAATTTGCGATTGAAACAAAATATTACCCTCTGGTAAACTAACATAGCTATAGAAAAATGCCCATTTATAGATGGTTTACCTATTATAAAAAATGGTGATTTACAGATTGTGATGGTGATTGAACTATATTGAACCATTTGAAATGTGCAAATTATGGTCGGAAAAGATTGGAAATAGCGGCTACTGTACCTATCAGCATCCCTCCAGGCGCATCATGGGCACTGCCAGAAGTCCGCGCCAACCAGGGTGAACAAAGACAAGGCTCAAGGATCTCTTCAGGGTTTGTATAAAAAATTAGGGGAAGATCAGATTTGTTGATTGATCATTGTTTATTAGAATTGCCATTCTTGGTATTGAACAGTTTCAGACGCTGTTTAACGATTTGAGGTCTGTACAAACCCATGCGTGCAACCTGTTGCTGGGATGGTTCAACATCCAAGTCTGCACCAGAGAAATAGTGTACCACTCCAATGTAAATATAGTCTTGAGCCCTTGTAATATATGTTGTAAATATATGTTGTAAATATATGCTGTAAATACACTGTATGTTGTAAATATAGGGTTTGTGCTGTTGTTGGTACTTCGGTGGCTATCTTTGGCTCATAGTTCCACCAACACCCCACCATTGGAGTGCAAACCAACCTTTTTGGGGCAGCCATGCAGGCAATTCACTGGTTAGTTGGCGATCACTATCCCAGGTATGACTTAAAACGTAATCAGGCTGAACATCCCAGTATTGAACTACCAAACTGTTAAGCAACCAGTTTTTGAGTTTGGGTCTAAATTTACACCTGTGCTTTTCGGCGGTGAAACCAGCGGAGGCCCCCAGGACAAGCACCAGAAAGCCACGCAAAGCTCACCTCACCTCCGTCCAAATGGAGAAAACTGGCGCGCTGAAGAAGGTGCCTTGGCTTTTTCAGTTCGATCTCGGGGGGGCAAAGTGAGGTGCTGTGGAACGGCATCGAACTGGTGCTTACCCTCTGGTAAACTGCTCCATAACTATGGAAAATCACCATAGAAATAGTGAATTTTCCCATGAAAAATGGTGGATCTTTCCATAGTTGTGGAGCAGTTTACCAGAGGGTACTTTGGAGACTTCATTGATTTGGAGGTCAACTTTTGATTTTTGCATGTCTGACAAGGGAAAATTATCCACAAGGTTAAAGAGACAAAACAACACAAACTCCTCAGAGCACAAACCATCCAGAAAAAAAAGGTGAGTTTCTCTACTATAATATTTCTGAACAAAATAAATATATAATAATCTAAGAAAATGTTTGAAAGATGTCGAAACCAATAATACAAAGATATATGACATAATATCTGTTGATAAATATGGTGACTTTCAAACCAACCTGTGAAAACTGCAGCTTGGCCGCGGTCGTTCAGAGGCTACCGTGGTCAGCAGGCCTAAGAAGCCTAGGTTAGCCGGGCGAGACTCTCATCGGAAACATGAAAACTATTGGATATGATTGGGATTAATTTAATGGTGATTTAATGTGATTTAATGGGGATTAATGGTGGTTTAATGGTGATTTCATGGGATATTCATGGGATATTCATGGGATTTAGTGGGATTTAAGGTGTTTTTGTTTTTAATGGGATATTTCATGTGAATTTAGTGTGGATTCATTCCCAGACTTCACAAAAAGGAATTGGGAATTTCATTGGTGTTTCATTGGGATATTTCATGGGATATCGCTATAGGAATAATACGGTTACTATGGGCGGTAATGATTATAGGTAATGAACATTATATGTATATAATCCCTCTTACTATTACAAACAACATTACAGGTAATCAATAGAACTTTATAGTGCTTTGAATTAGAGTTACATTTCTTTTGATTATTACTTTAGGCCGCTAAACTATAGTTAATGACTATAGTAACCCCTAACCAAATACTGAAAACCGCGTTTCCAGGTCTTTTTCTCCATCATTTCCAGATATCGTGAAGTGTTTCTGTATCTTTTTTGTGGGTTGCACCATACCAACTACTGGTTGGTGGTTGAGCCACCCCTCTGAAAAATATGAGTTCGTCAGTTGGGATTATGACATTCCCAATATATGGAAAAATAAAACATGTTCCAAACCACCAACTACCAACCAGAACTAGGTATTGTTTTGTTTGGTGTTTGTTTTGTTTTGTGACTAAAATATGTTACGTGTCCATCGTTGGTGTTCAATGGTTTATCCGACAATCTTTGCTGCTTAAGAAAACCTATGAAGTGCTGATGGAACGGAGATGGCATGCTCAAGCAATGTTCACCAACCAAGAATGGATAATATTATTTTGTAGACAGAAACTGAGACTTGAAGCAACTGTGCCTTTCCCGGTTTAAAGTTTAAAGAAGAGATACCCTCTGGTAAACTACATAACTATGGAAAATATTCTTTAAACTTCACATCTGGAAAGGCACAGTTCGGAGTTTCATCTGATTTCGCTGGCCTTAATTGGGGGGACGTAAACGTCAACAGAACTTTGGGTTGTTAAGACATGTAGCCTCAGCAAAAAGGGTAATTGGTATGTTTTTAATGTAAGACCCACCGAGATGGCATCAGTGTCATCAGTTAAACATAGATGGTAAGTGAGAAATGATAATATCAGTGAACGTTTGATAGATAGGATCCACTGAGGTAGTGGTAGTGCAACATTCTTTGGCGATGGCTGAATCCACAGCATTCAAGTGCAACTCCGTCCAGACGTGACCCCGCGGTAACAAATCAACCCGCCCAACTTCCGCCCGAATCTGGACATGGATAAATGGAGGTGTCCAGCTGGGAAAATCATGAAATGATGGGATTTACCGTTACCAGCCACGTTTGATAACACTGGAGGGTAACCAGCAAACATGTTTTTTTTACATGATTGTGTTTTAATCAACAAAGTCTTAATATGTTTTAATGATGCTCAACCAAACTTCTGGGTAAATTATAATATTTCACTAACCTGAATTAAGCCCATTTGGGGATGATTTCCAATACTAACCATGATTCCAGGGTTCGGGAGAACAGTGAGGTCGTTATAATTTACCCAGAAACTTCATGAATGATTAAAAGTTGATCATGATGCTCAATTTAAAGTTGACCAAACATCATTAACCAAACATGATCAAACTTAACGAATCCATGTTCCAACAGTTGATCGCCGTCGCGGAACATGGCAGGAGCAGGAGCCCCAGGAGCTCCATGGCTCCACTAACGCCGCAAAAACCTCGGCGGGGAAGCGGCAGAGAAACATGGGAGGATTTTTTATAGCCTTCAAATACACCAAGAAACATATATATAGAAAAATATAGAAAAATATAGAAAAATGCTACTTAAATATGATCAAATAAGAAGTACTAAGATTGCTAACATGCTGCTAAATTGAAGGGTAGTTGGAGGGTATTGATATGGGATGTAAACATATATAAATGGGATTTAAGCAATAATCATGGGACAAGAACGGGGATAAAACAGGATCATCGGGAGGATTTCACAGATTCACGAGCCGAGGTGCATTCAGCGAGTCGTAACTTCTTCAGACCAACGGCTCTTTCTTAGACGGACTTGAGCCCAGCTGGTTGAGGAAACGGTGGGAATTCCATGGAATTCCTGGGGCCTTGAAGCAATTGCTTAGGGTTTGTGGGAAGTGACCATGACCATGAGAATATCATGGGGAGTCAGCCAACCCCCCAACGCATTGGACAATCTGACCTTCGGGGGTCACCTCGGGAAGGGACATAGGAGCCTTGGGTGTCTCTAAAAAATCAACCAGCAGCCCATGTTTGTTTTAACCTCGTTTCCACACCTGCCATTGTGACCATATCATCAAAGAAACATCCATGTTTGAAAGCCAAATAGATATGTTTAAAAGTTGA